CTGAATATAACAGCATAAGCACCATCACAAATGTGATACTGATGTTATAAAACAATTTTATTTTTAATTATTTTCAATTAACATTTTAGACTTTAAGATATTAAGAATTTAAAATATGTTATTTTTCAGATTCACCAATGAAAATAGCTCCAAAGCTGAAGCAAAACATTTGTGCATGTCAGATCAGCGCTGAGGTGTTTCATTTCTGCAATCATCTGTTTTTGAAGAAATCATTTAATGGGTCAATAATTTGTGAATTCGATGATGCCTTCAGTCAGCTGTTTTGATTGGTAGTTTTTAAATGAATGAGTCATTAAACAAGTCCTATGCACCTGATACCATCTAAACTACAAGAACTCAATGAGGAAAATGATGTTTACTATAAATGTACCACAATCATGTTGCCCTGCTTGCCTTAAATACCTCTCTTGCACAATATCCTGCACAACATTGTTCAGTCTCATGTAAAAGTACTTGTATAGCCTGTCTTATGTGTATACTTAAGTATGTATATGTTAGTTATGCATAGTTTTTATTTATGTCTAGTGTTGTATTTGTATTTATGATTAATATATGTAGCATCGATGTCCTGTGACACACGACATTTCGCTTCTCTGTATGTCCACACATGTAGCGGAATGACAATAAAGCTCGACTTGATTAAGACAGGGACTTGATGACACCTACAGGCGGTTTTAGGATCGAATTGTTTTATCCATTACAGTCCTTTGTTTCAACTGTTTATTTTAGTTTCTGTGCTATCATTGGAAAATGCTTTGGTCAACATGTGTTGTTTTTAAATGTATTATACAACTAATAAACATACAGCTATGGAGTAAAATTGAAAAAACTTGAAAATGTCAGTTTTTCAGAATTAAAGGGATTTATTAGGCATAGGTTTTTAGTTAAAAGTTGTTGTAATCTATATGTCTGATAATAATAAATTCTGATAGAGTCTGACGATAAATCTTCCAATATTCAAATAAATTACTGTCATTTAGATGATTAGATGATTATTTTGTGGTTCTTAGCTCTTCTGTAGTTAAAACATTGTTGTGTTGATTAAAACTCATCATTCACCTCAGAAACACACTCACTGGCCACTTTATTAGGTACACTTTGTTAGTACCAGGTTGGACAAGGCACTTGAAATATTCCTCTGAGATTTTGGATGTTCAAGAAACCAGTCTGAGATGATTCATGCTTTATGACGGTGCGTTATCCTGCTGGAAGTCGCAATCATGAGATGGGTACACTGTGGTCATAAAGAGATGGACATGGTCAGCAACAATACTCAGGTAGGCTGTGGCGTTGGCATGATGCTCAATTGATACTAATGGACCCAAAGTGTACCAAGAAAATATTTCCCACACCATTACACCACCAGCCTGAACTGTTGATACAAGGCAGGATGGATCCATGCTTTCATGTTGTTGATGCCAAATTCTGACCCGACCATCGGAATGACGTAGAAATTCGAGACTCATCAGATCAGGCAACATTTTTCCAATCCTCTATTGTCCAATTTTGTTGCGCCTGTGCGAATTGTAGCCTCAGTTTCCTGTTCAAAGTCCCTTAAATCACTTTTCTTTCCCATTCTGATCCTCGGTTTGAACTGCAGCAGATCATCTTGACCATGTCAACATGCCTAAATGAATTGAGTAGCTGGCTTGTGTTTGTCTGATTAGAAATTAGTGCTAACAAGCATTTGGACAGGTGTACCTAAAAAAGTGCCAGGGGAGTGTATGTTGCATCTATTTGTTGATTGGACGATTTATCAAAAAATGATTTAATAGTGTTGTTAACAGTTCACAGGATAAAACAATTATATATTTATTAAACATAAACAGTTGAAGTCAAAATTATTAGCCCCCCTTTACTTTATATATATATATATATATATATATATATATATATATATATATATATATATATATATATATATATATATATTTCCCAAATTATGTTTAACAGAGTAAGGAAATTCTCACAGTATGTCTAATATTTTTGTTTTTTCTGGAGAAAGTCTTATTTGTTTTATTTCGGCTAGAATAAAAGCAGTTTTTATTAAAAAAAAAAACATTTTAGGGTCAAAACTATTAGCCCTTTTAAGCTATATATATTTTCAATAGTCTACAGAACAAATCATCTTTATACAATAACTTGCCTAATTACCCTAACCTGCCTAGTTAACCTAATTAACCTAGTTAAGCCTTTAAATGTCACTTTAAGCTGTAATATATATATATATATATATAATATATATATATATATATATATATATATATATATATATATATATATATTTCACAAACACATAACTTTAAAGCCAGTAAATCCAGACATACTAAACATTTTCGAGTGATACCCTAATATTTCCATTGCTTCATTTTCATATTATATCATATTTTCATAAATAATACATGAACAATAAAGTATTCAAGTTTGAGTTGACAGAGCTCAAGTGAAATATGTTTGCAGACGTGTTGTTTTAATTAGCAAACAATGTTTCACAAACAGTGACGTAACGTTATTTGGACATCACAGGTGAAGTTCATTAACGTTACATTAATTCATAACTGACGTACTGACTGTTATCATTTTACACACGAATTTACAAAAATATAAATATATTATGCAGCTTGAAACGTGTCCCTATCTTATCTTTCTTCATAATAAATGCCTCTGGCGTTCATATACAGACATTTCACGAGTGACTGAGGTAATACTTCTTGAGGGCACAGACTATGGAAGACATTTAACAGCTTTATATTTGCAGGATGTGTTTTCCTCACCTGTGTGGTTCTGGAATGTTCCGTGTTTTTTACTCGCATTGCTGAAGGTCGTCAAGCATTTCAGTGTAGTTTGAGAAGACAACAGACAGAAGCGCGAATCAGGAACGTGGAGACAAGCAGCAGCCAGTCACACGCGGCGATGTTGAAGCGTCTGCGGTTACTATAGTGATGCTCAACTCGAGTTTCGCTTTTTTCCACTGATACCAACTCCTAATGAAAGTCATACCAACAACACACGTTGCAATTAAATAACCGTGTACATACAGCGATGGGAAAATGTCAATCTCTGCATTTACTAAGCATGTGTTTGGCTAAAAAATATATATAATTGGTGTTATTCTATAAAGGTCTAATAATTTACTAACCCTGCTGAAAAATCCAGTTTAAACAAGTCTAGGTTGGTTGGCTGGTTTTAGCTGGTCGACCAGGCTGGTTTTAGAGGGTTTTGGCCATTTCCAGCCTGGTCTTAACTGGTCTGGCTGGAAAATGACCAGCTAAAACCAGCTTGACCAGTCTGGTTTAAGCTGGACAAACTGGTTTTGCCTAGGCTCCTAGCCTGGCTAGGCTGGTCAACCTGGTTTTAGCTGGTCATCCACCAGAAAGCTGACTTAAAACGTGGCATAGTTGTTGGTGCCAGACGGGCTGCTCTAAATATTTCAGAAACTGCTGATCTACTGGGATTTTCACGCACAACCTTTACTAGGGGTTACAGAGAATGGTCTGAATAAGAGAAAATATCCAGTAAGAGGCAGTTTTGTGAGCACAAATGCCTTTTTGATTCTAGAGATCAGAGGAGAATGGCCAGACTGGTTCCAGCCGATAGAAAGGCAACACAGTAACTCAAATAAGCACTCATTACAACCGAGGTCTGCAGAAGAGCATCTCTGAACACACAACACGTCCAACCTTGAGGCGGATGGGCTACAGCAGCAGAAGACCACACCGGGTGCCACTTCTGTCAGCTAAGAACAGGAAACTGAGGCTACAATTCACACAGACTCACCTAAACTGGAGATAGAAGATTGGAGAAACGTTGCCTGCTCTGATGAGTCTCGATTTCTGCTGCGGCATTCGCGTGGTAGGGTCAGAATTTGGCGTCAACAACCTGAAAGCATGGATCCATCCTGCTTTGAATCAACAGTTTAGGTTGCTGCAGGTGGTGTAATGGTGTGGGGGATATTTTCTTGGCCCACTTTGGGCTCATTAGTACCGAGTTTCAACACCACAGCCTACCTATTGTTGCTCACCATGTCCATCCCTTCAAGACCACAGTGTACCCATCTTCTGATGGCTACTTCCAGCAGGATAACACACCATGTCATAAAGCACAAATCATCTCAGACTAGTTTCTTGAACATGACGATGAGTTCACTGTAATCAAATGGCCTCCACAGTCACCAGAGCTCAATCCAATAGAGAATTTAAACGGGAGAACGGGAGATTCGCATCATGAATGTGCAGCCGACAAATCTGCACCAAAAACCCTGAGGATTATTTCCAGTACCTTGTTGAATTTATCCCACGAAGGATCAAGGAGGCATGTTCTGAAGGCAAAAGGGGTCCAACCCGGTGCCAGTAAGGTGTACCTAATAAAGTGGCCAGTAAGTGCATTTTGCAACAAACATCACAAAACCAAACTGAACAGAATTAATAAATGATACTCCTTTAGATTAACACACACACACACACACACACACACACTCTGCAAAGTTGCTATAACCCACAAGTAAAATCATTGAGTTTGTTTTGGAACAATTTAATAATTGCTTTATAACATGTGATTTTACTACGCGTTTAAGTTGACTTAATAAGGGAACTGTTTTGGTCTCTTCAATTTATTAAGGTCAAATGGTTGCTAAGCAATGCTTAAGGAAACACTAACATAATTAGGGATGAATATTTAATGCCAGTATTAAGACCCTTTTTATTTTTCACGTTTAACGAAGGATTCCCTTATAACTAATTTCTTAGCTTAAGGGCTTTCATGCAACAGGGCCTGTAAGCATTAAAAAATCTGACCTAAAAGCTTGCATGCACAAACCATTTCCTTTTGATAACTATCGTTCGGATTTAATAAGTCAAAAGTTCAATAAAGCCAGCCTCTTTTTTTTATCTCATCTCATAAACGGATGTATGCGTCAGTGGTGAGTGTACGAAAGATAAATAAACGTGCACATACTAATCAATATTTGTGTTCCCTCATGCTGTTATTGCTGTAGAGAAGCCTTCATTAAACCTCTAGCCAACTGTACTTCCATCATCAACATGGTAAGAGCAACATAACATTATTTATGCTTTCAGCTTTATGCTTTTATGACACAAGAATGCATGTTTCATAGTGAACTACTAAACGTGTGTTGAAACAATACGGCGAATGCATTTCATGAAGAGTGATTGTTCAAAATCAGATTTGCATGTTCTTGGCTCTCCATGGAATTTAAATATTATAGATGCAGTGTTTTACATTTTGGTTAATTGTTAGCCGAGTCTGCTGTAAAATACCTAACAATTCCCAAACGTACAGTAAATGTGGACAAATCTCATTTAGGTCTAGCTGAATGAACTCTTCAATGTGGCTCTTCTCAACGGACGTCTGTGGGAATAATACCTTTCGGATGAAATCTTAGAAGATTTTGGGAAACACAGAGACATTTGAGGTAAGGAAAGAGAGCTGTAAGACTATTTGCACTTCAATTGTTTTAAGTAGATCCCCTTTGTGTCAAAATAACAAGTCATTTCAAACAAATATCTAAACAAATATATATGAACAGTTCAGCCACACTTTAAATAGTCTAATAAATGTATTGTATATAACATATGAAGAGTTCAGTTGCAAAAACCTCTGAGTGCCGTCTGCAATTTTGCAGCCTTCTTTGTTTATGTTGAGATATTTCACTTTAAAAACCAGGAAAAGGACTTACTAATTGCCTTAAAATTGATATTACTGAACATATACAGGAGCCTGATTAAAATGTTCATTTCAGAGGAAAATTTCAGATAGCATTTAGAGATTTTAGCATCTAAACTCTTCATATATATATATATATATATATAAATATATATATATATATATATAGTTGAAGTCAGAATTATTAGCCCTCCTGATTTTTTTAGGCCGCTTGTTTATTTTTCCCCCAATTTCTGTTTAACGGAGAGCAGATTTTTTCAACACATTTCTAATCATAATAGTTTTAATAACTCATTTCTAATAACTGATTTATTTTATCTTTGCCATGATGACAGTAAATAATATTTGATTAGATATTTTTCAAGACACTTCTATACAGCTTAATGTGACATCTAAAGACTGAACTAGGTTAATTAGGCAGGTTAGGGTAATTAGGCAAGTTATTGTATAATGATGGTTTGTTCTGTAGACTATCAAAAAAATTGGAAATTTCAGAGCAGCAGATTTTTTTTTGTAACCTTCCCCAGCCTTGAGACAATCCTGTCTTGAAAGTCTACAAACAATTCCTTTGTCTTTATGCTTGGTTTGTGCTTTGACATGCACTGTCAACCCTGGGAGCTTATATAGACAGATGTATACCTTTTCAAACATGTCCAATCAACTGAATTGAGCTGAACTCAAATTAAACTGCTGAAACATCTTAAGAATGATCAGTGGAAACAGAATGCACCTGAGCTTAATTTACAGCTTCACGGCAAAGGCTGTGAATACTGATGCACATGTGATTTTTCAGGTTTTTTATTTTTAATAAATTTGCAACAATTTCAAAAACTCTTTTTTCACATTGTCATTATGGGGGATTGTGTGTAGAATTCTGAGGAAATACATGAATTTAATCCATTTTGAAATAAGGCTGTAATATAAAAAATGTGGAAAAAGTGAAGCGCCATGAACACTTTCCGGATTGCACTGTATTAATCTAGTGTATGTCATTAAAAAATCTGACTATTTATACGCTCTGTGCATTAAACTAAAGTCTTTTTTGGTGGCCAAAGGGACATCAGTGTGTTGAGGTCAAATGGATGAAAAGGTTTTGACATCACATTAATACACATTTTTGAGCTTTGACACGTCTTTTTTGAAATAAAGGAGGCTTAATTTGTCAGAGAACACTATACTGTCTAATTCAGAAGTTTTTAAAGAGACCATAACATTTATTTTCACATATTAACACAGCGGACAGCATTGAAAATGATTGACTTTTGTCCCTTAGCTCCGTACAATAAAATACATCAAATTAACATCAGTTAATTAAAAAAAAGTATTTTTTTGGTGGACAAAAGGGCATCAATGGATGAACATACAGGTTTGACATCAAAATGATTTACATTTTTGACATGTTTCTTAGACTTTGTTTTAACATCAAATCATCCAATAACACTTTACTAATTTCACTAATGTGACACCAACTTGTGGATGTCAAATAGGCGTAAAGGTTTTGACATCAAAACTATTGACATTTTTACATGTTTCTCAGACGTTGTTATGACATCAAGGTGGTTTAAGTCATCTGATAACTCTCTATTGTCAAATTCTGATGTTTTTCAGAGACCTTAAAATGAACATTTTCACATATTTATACATTTACCTTATATTTTCACATATACCTTAAAAACATTTTCTTATATTAACATAGCGGACGGCATTGAAAATGATTGACTTTTGTCCCGTAGCTCCGTACAATAAAATACATCAAATTAACATCAGCTAATTGAAAAAAAGTCTTTTCATGGTGGACAAAAGGGCATCAATGTATGAACATACAGGTTTGACATCAAATCGGTTTACATTTTTGACATGTTTCTCAAGCCTCCAGTCCAATGCACACGACAAATGACAAGCGACAGACCGGAAGTCATTCATTTCTGATGGAGAGTGGCCTGGAAGCTGCATGGAGTTACGATCATCTACGTGTGCGGTAAATTCGGATCTGAACTAAGTTGCAGATCCATTGTATAATATTTATTATTTGAACTCCTGCGACTAGACCTTATGCGACCGACCGACCGGATGTGATGTTCAAGCAGGTCCGTGTGTGCGAGATGAGAAATATGAGTTTATTTGATTATTTTTTGAATTAGAAAAAGTCTAATAAATGTCATTAATAAAGTAATAAAAATCAAATTTTTTATTGTTGTCCACATTCCCTTCAATACATTTTTAGCGGTCTATGAGTTTCTAGTATTCATTCATTCATTTAACCACAGAGAGTACAGACTCTTGCTTTTGCACTCCTTTATTTCGGACACTGCGAGAACAGCTTCTCTCTCATGGTACAGGTCAGAACTGAAAATACTGTGCGACTGCCGTGTCCATATGTCGTGTGCAGTGTACTTGAGCGTTCACACCGAAAGCGGTGAGAGCGTCCAAGGTCGCTCTGGCCACCCTGGCGACAACGCTGTCTGCCTTCAGCTCCAGCATCAAAATTTGCTACATTGATCTCGTATTTAAAGGAGCCGTTGCAGCATATCAGTTACATTCCTGCATAAAACATGTTTTAGCGTGAAAATGTACTTCTTATCGAATTAATTTAACAACGGAAGATGGACAATGGAACAAGTTGCATGTGGTGTGGTGCTCCACGTAATTATCCAATGTGTCTATATGTCTGAAATATCCTGAAGCAGCAATACTGTTTTGTACTGCCGCATGAGATTTTTTTTTTTAAGATAAATATATATAACATTAACGCACATCAGTAACTCGCCAGTAACTTATCTAATGCATGTTCCTGCAAAAAAAAATTGTAAATAATTAATAATCCGTCGACCGCAATCAGCAAACCCTTGGGAACAACTGTGGTCTGAACCGAAGTTCAGAGGTCTGTGTTCTCTGAACTCCTCTCAAGCGGTGGACTTCTTCATTCTGATTGCTTCTCGCCGAACCGCATCATAGCTCATTACCAAAAGTTGACTAGATTTTAACTCTCCTCGACGCCCACGCTGGCGAAGACACGCCGCGCTGCTCCTCGCCGCTTAACGCCACCAGCTCACATTGAAAATGAATGACTTTCGGCTACTTTGCTACTCTTTCGGTGGGAATGAATGTTTAAGGCGGCTTCAGACTTCGTTTCAACATCAAGTCATCCAAAAAACTCTCTACTATTTCTACTTATTTAACACCAACTTGTGTTAGTAAAGGTTTTAACCTCAAAACAGTTTACATTAACATGTTTCTTAGACATCATTTTGCCATCAAGGTGGATTAAGTCATCCGATAACTCTACTGTCAAATTCTGATGTTTTTCAGAGACCTTTGGAGTGCAAAAATGATCAACCAGTGGGTGATTTTCGCCGTCTACGTCCTGACGTTTCTAATCGGCCTTCCAGCGAATCTTCTGGCCATCTGCACGTTCATTAAAAAACTCGGAGACAAACCCAGTCCCAACGACATCCTGCTCTTCCACCTGACCACTTCAGATCTGGTCTTCCTGCTGTTTCTTCCCTTCAAGATGTACGAAGCCTTCATGGGCATGAAATGGCACTTACCGCAGACCCTGTGCTCCATCGCCTCCTTCTTCTTCTTCACCACGATTTACACCAGCTCTCTGCTGCTAATGGCTATAGCTGTGGATCGCTACTTAGGACTAGCCTTCCCGTTCAAATACCGAATGCTACGTAAACCGATTTACGCCACGGTAGGTTGTGTTTTTATATGGCTAGTCAGCGCGGCTCATTGCAGTATCGTGTTTATCATCGTTCATATGCCGGATCAGAACACAAACGGATCGGTTTGCTACGAAGAATTTACTGAAGAGCAGAAAAGGATCTTGCTGCCAGTTCGGCTGGAGTTTTTTGTGGTCATTTACACGCTGCCGCTCCTAGTTTGTGTCTTCTGCTACATTAACTGTATCAATATATTGTACAGCAGGCCTCATATTGTTAAAGTGAAGAAGCAAAGAGCCATTGGGATGGCGTTGTGCACACTTACCATCTTTTTACTGTGTTTTTTACCTTATAACCTGTCGCATCTAGTAGGTTACAGCAGCAATAAAAGCCCGCCGTGGAGATATTACACGCTTTTGCCGAGCACACTCAACACTTGTCTTGATCCCTTCGTCTTTTACTTTTCATCCTCAACTTTCCGCGAAAGCAAAACAGTTTCTTTGCTGAAGACGTGGTGCTTTAAAAGACACAAGAGAAATTATACAAAGACAGAAACTGAACTGAATGTTGTAGCGATATGAGCTTTTACATTTCATTGTCACGTTTTTTTTAATTTAGTTTCTATTATTTTTCATGAATCTGTAACATTTAATATTTGTAGCTGTTTTTTACAATTTATCAACAAAATAAAGAAGTGTCTTACCTTGAACATGCGACGTCTTTTTCATGTTAAATTAAGTTTTGTGACGTCGAAGTGTGAATTTTGTAACTGAGGTACAGTTTTATTCCCATATAGTCACAGTTTCTTTACTGTGCATTCACATGGGGCTTCAGCGTCAATGCTTGACGAGGGTGTGTCTGAAGTTACGCCCCATTCACACAGGGCGTCAGCGTCAACGCTACTTTTGCTTCCCGTTTACTTGAATAGGTTCGGTAGGGTGTTACCGAATTGCATTGTGGATCTGTGGGTGCCGCTTCAGTGGCGTTGCTCGTTGCAGATGTTAGGACGGAAGAGGGAAGGGTCAGCCAATCAGATTGCTGTTTCCAACTACGCCAGCTCAGACAGTAGCCGATTGCTGACGCTTACGTTGGTGCTTGAAAAGTTGAGAAAGTCCTAACTTCTGCACCGAGCAACGCCACTGAAGTGGCACCGACGGATCCACAATGCAATTTGGCAACGCCTGATGACACCCATTCAAAGTGAATGAGAAGCATTAAAGCTGACGCCCCTTGTGAATGAGACGTTAGGGCTGACACGATCGTCATAGCAGCATATGCCAATGAATTTAGTCCGCAATCGGCTACTGTCTGAGCTGGGATATTTAAATAAAGCGATCTGATTGGCTGATGCTTCCGTTGGTGCTTGAAAAGTTGAATAATTCCAAATCCTTACAGATCTACAATTCAGTTAGGCAATGCTTGACATCACCCATTGAAAGTGAATAGGAAACGTTGACGCTGATGCCCCATCTAAATGGGGCGTAAAGGTGCTGTATGTAAGTTTTTGACTCTTCTAAAGCTTAAAAATACCATAATATGTTTGCAGATATTTTAGAAACATGCTAAGTGAACATTCGTGTTTATCTGAAAAACAATGCTAAAGACAGATATTCTGCTTTAAAAATGAGCGTAACGTCTTTGTTTTGGTTCTTTTAACCCGTCCAATGTCAGTTTAGCCGATTATATTTCAGAACCCGGGTTGCCTTGGTGAAAAACAGCGCATTTCATTCATTCAATCATGAAGCCTCTCAAAGTGTGAGTCCATGAGTGAAATGCGACCTCCGGTGGACAATAGCAGACTCAGAAATATTCGTAATATAACGTAAACATTAGGTGAGGAGGTTAAACTGTAAACCTGTGTCCTAACGTGACGCTACATGACAAGATTTGCAGTGATAAGCAATTGGTCTGTAAGCACTAGACGGAACACGACAGAAATGTAAATACAGCCATTTAGAAGCACAGAATAGTGCACTCACTGCACTCCAACAAAACGGTAAGGTTTATGATCTAATTAATACATATTAAACCTCTTTAGCATTATTAAATGTAGATGCTGAATCACTGATATGTGTTGGCTTGCACTGAGACACGGTTCTAAAATTTAATTTTAAACAGTTTATTTTCCAGATCTGAGGTGAACTATCTGCTGCTGCTTTCAGTAGTATGGCAATAAATGTCATGTATAATGGCATTCAGACTCACATCATTAGCATTTAACACTGAATAAAGCACAAGAGGTGTAACTGAGCTGATCATTATCAGTTTTGTGTTGTTCAGCTGGAAGAAATAGAAGCAAAAACTCCTTTTAGTATGAAGAATATTCCTTCTATCACGTGTCGTTGCTTTTATATACAGTAGAACACGATTTAAATCAGCCTTTAGGCTCGATAGTCAGGCTCGCTCCTGTTGGTGTTGTCAATCTGACAACCTGTGCTTGCATGTTTTGATCCAGGATTGCAATACCTAGTTCAACCACTGGGTGTCAAACTTACATACTGCACCTTTAATAATACAATTTCAAGAAAGTATTATATATAAGTTTATTAAACTATATTTTATTGGTTACATTTAATGTTAGTGATCAAAGAGTTAAACTTTTATTTTAGAGAATAATTGTATTGGACCAATAGGCTACTGGTTTCATTAAAAGTGCAAACCTGCAACTCATACATCCAAATTTTGCCAAGTTCATTGTGTTTTTCTGACAGGATTTCACAATTCTGTCAGTGTTTTATGCATTATGCAAATCACAGGGTCTTAAAATTTACCATTTATTTCATGTATATATATTTTTTACGTATCATGCAAACATTCAATCGGTTCCTCCAAGCCAAACATTAAACAAACAAAACAACAATAAATGAAGAGAACAGATTTTATTAGAGATTTTTCACTCTGTGCATGAAAAATGCTTCAGTTCATTCAAGTGATTCAAATCTTAAATGAGTTCTGTTGTTATTGCAACTAGTGAAATCTGACAGTGTCTTTTTTCTCTGTATTTTATAAGTGGGATCAGATAATCAAATACTTGGGTGATGAATGTTTGCTTGTCTCTGGTTTTAGCGAGTGCCGGCCACTCTTCTGCATTCATGCATCCTGTAGGCACACATGTAAAAAATACCTGCAGAAACAAAACACACATTTAGGAGATCAACAGCTGAACCACACATACAGTTGAAACCATTTTAAAAAAAGTCAGAAGTTATGTGACTAAACTTTTTCTCTTTTAGGTAAGTTAGGATTATCTAATTTGTTTCTGTAATGCTTAATAGCAGAATAATGAGAGAGATATTTTTGAAAAATTGTTTTAACTTTTCTTAAAAGTCAAGTTTACAATTAACAACCTTGTCAAGGTTTTGGAAGTTTCTAATTGGCTGATTGACAACATTTGAGTTAATTGGAGGCACAACTGTAGAATAGTATTTAAGGAAAACCTCAAACACACTGCTTCCTTGTGTGACAACAAGGGAAAATCAGCAAACCAGAATCAACAAAAAAGCCAGATTACAATTTGCTAAACTACACTGGGAAAAATAATATTTGGAGACATGTCCTGTGCTCTGATGGAACTAAGATTGAACTGTTTGGCCATAATGACCAGTGTTAAATTTGAAGAACAAAAGGGGAAAGATTACAAGCCCAGAAACACCATGCCAACTGTGAAGTATGGGGGCGGCAGCATCATGTTGTGGGGCTGGTTTGTTGCAGGAAGGACTGGTCCACTTAACAGCATCATGAAGAAAGAACATTATGGAGAAATACTGAAGCAACATCTCAAGACATCAGTCAGGAAATTAAAACTTTACCACAAATGGGTCTTCCAAACAGACCATGACCCTAAGCATACTGCCAAATTAGTTAAAATGAGCTTTAAGGACAACACAGTGAATGTTTTGGAGTGGCCATCACAAAGCCCTGATCTCAATCCTATAGAAAATTTGTGGGCAGTTACACCAATTCTGACTGAGTTACAACAATTCTGTCAGGAGGAATGGGCCAAAATTCCTCCAAACTATTGTGAGAAGCTTGTGGAAGGATACCCAAAATATTTGACCAAAGTAATACAGCCTAAAAGCAAAACTAAAAAAAAAACACTAAGGAAATGTAGGTAAACTTTTGACTGTCTAGAAATTAATAAAACAATTCTCCAAAAAAAATGCTCTCATTATTCTGGTATTTAGCAAATGTAAATCATTTAGGTAATCCTAACGTACCTAAAATAGTAAACGTTTAGTATGATTTACCATCAGACATTTTAAAAAAAAATGGTTATGTTCCTTTTTTTAGAGTGTATGTAAACTTCTGGTTTCAACTGTACATTCAGTAATTCAATATATGGTGCACGATATTGTTATCATTGATTTGAATCAATTAGACAATGTTTACCAATGATACTTTGTTGTAAAGTGTTACGTATTGTAATTTTGTAATTACGTTTAATTGAAAATGTATTTGCTCTGAACATGTTTATACAATAAAGCAATACACTAAGTTTTTTTTGGTTATTATACTTCTTAATGTAACAATAATGTAATATATCATGATAATGCCGTATATCGTGAAAGCTTCAGAAATTAATCAAAATAAGAAAATGTAACAGTCGGAAGTCTAAGCCTATGTTTACATGACAAAGATGTAGCCAAAAACAAAAACTCCTGCATCTTTTCTCTTGCATTTGAAAAGTGTTTTACATTTACACAACAAAGTTTTCAAAATGATCTGCATTTATACATCCATGAAAAAGGGCTAAAATGTTGTTATATGTATGCCAGGCCAGTTTTTTGCACTGTTACTTTATGTATAAAGCATTTGCCGTATGCGTCTCTACTGTTAGTATGTAAAGTAATGTAAGGTAATGCAAGAATATCCAGACATTGTTGAAGAAGCGTTAGCAAACACTTGTCTTTAATCTACACTACACCAAACACATACTATAAACCTACATGATGTTATTATGGTCGAAGACTTTGTTTAGGGTGTTTACACAGACATGACTACTATGGCACTTTGTAAACTGCTTTCAGATATATGTGTTTTCATTCCCAAAAAACACTGTCTGGACTCTATTATAATGATCTAGATGCAAAGTCTAAAGCACATGACACAAGAGCATTAAGGGTGTGTCCGAATCCACTTTTGCTATTTTAAGGATGGAAAAATACACTCCCATATGGTCTAAAACCCAACAGGTGGACAACTCTAAACTTTTTTTAAATAAAGCAAATATAAATATGCATTTAAAAAATACTACAACTACTACTACTACTACTACTAATAATAATAACGTTATACAAAAGCAAGATGTGATGAATAAACTGAAAAAAAAAAACCTGAGATGAAGAAGTCATGGAGGTAGTGTAAAATAATTTTAACCCTCTCAAGGCAGGCGTTGCAGATTTGCAACAGTTAAAAATGAACTACCTTATTACTCCAGATACATATTTTATGAGTTTTTTTTTTACTCAGAAGTACCACTGCAGGACTTGGTTGTCCATTAGCAACACACAGTTTCCCCACTTGCACACCAGATGACACAAAAGACGAAAACTGTTTCTTGGAGTACCACATGACAAAGTGACTTGGAAACATGACCTACTCTATGAGGATTTGAGATATTGGATTTGGATCCCATGTTGTTTTTGTTGTTGTTCTGCCACAGAAAAGCAATTTGTTACATTGTTTGAAAAAATGTATATAAAAAGTTCATATTCAGTCGTCAGTGTCTAATTACCACACTGGGCCAATGTTGCAAATCTGCAACATCCCAGAACGCCTTGCATGTGAAGGTCTCTCTAAAAAAAAAAAGAGTCAGGATTCTATTGTACAACCCCATATGATAATTTTCCCCAAATATCAGATGTTTCCTGTTTCTAAAACTTAATTTGAGCCTGAGAGGGTTAATAATAATTTTTGTAATATTTAAATCCTTTAATTCGTTTTCATTCGTAAAGATGTTTGTGAATGTATTGCTGTACATCCTGTGTGTTTTTGTCTCATGTGCTCTGCGCTGGACTTTAGACCTGCTTTCAGCTGGTCTATTGCAGAGTCTATGTTAGTTCTTCAAAATATCAACAAGCCAACAATGCACCTTAACACACCTCTTATCTAGACTGACACAACCATTAGTCCACGAAGTGGCGCAAATGGATTCGCTATTTAAACAACATGCTGGAAAACGGAAAAATTAAGGTTGCGCTAGTCTGAAAATAGCAACACATTGGGGCAAACACTTCTTGCACCTTATTGTGCCGGGTGTATTACAGGGCCCATATTGTGTCAATGAACAGGCAAAATGCATTAAAAGTTTCTTGTATTTGGCTGGAAACTTTTGTTGTATAAAAATAAATAAATAGGCAAAACAAATAAATGTGACTCATTTTTAGCTAAAAAACTTTGTGTAAAATGAACTGGCAAAACACACACAATACGTCCCATTTTTGGATGAAAACTTTGTTGTATAAACAAACAAGAAAAACTTAAAATATTTCCCATTTTGGCTGTAAACAAACAGGCAAACTGTATAAATTATTTCCTGATTTTAGCTAAAAGCTCTGTGTAAACGAACAAGCAAATAATATAAAAATGTTCTGTTTCTTGGCTGAAAACTTTGAGTTAACAAACAGACAAAGCGCATATAAGGTTTCCGGTTTTGGGCTGAAAAATTTGTGTAAATGAAACAATCATAACGTATAAAAGTTTCCTATTTTTGGCTGAAAACACATAAAAGTTTATGTTTTTTGGCTAAAAACTTTGCGTAAACAAACAGGCAAAATGCAAAAAAGTTTCCAGTTTTGGGCTGAAAACTTTGCGTAAACGAACAGGCAAAATATATTTTAAAAATTCCGGCTTTTGCTGAAAACTTTGCGTAAACGAACAGGTAAAATACATAAAAATTGTCTGGTTTTGGGCTGAAAGCTGTGTAAACAAACAGGCAAACAGTATAATATGTTTCTTATTTTTTGCTGAAAACTTTGCCTAAACGAACAGGCAAAACAGTATAAAAAGTTTCTGTTTTTTTAATGTATAAATTGTTTCCTATTTTGGCTGAAAACTGTGTAAACAAACAGGTAAAGCATAAAAAGTTCCCAATTTTTGGCTGAAATCTTTGTCGTGTAAACATCCTTTAAATTGGACAATGAAACAAAACTAATGTTAAATCTTTACTGACCTGAAAAAAAGGTCATGAGCAGAGCAACCCAGCCCAGAATGTAGGACCAGGAGAATCTCCAGTCCCCGAAACGCTTTCCCAGGAAGTTGACAGTCACGCCGGTGTAAATGGCCATCGCCAGCAGAACAAACAGAGCTTTAGGAGATACAGAAATCAGACATGAAGATCTCTCAGATCACACTATTCAACAGGTGAACGCAAGAGAAAGACGTACTGGAAATGAAAAACATGATTCCTGCTGCAAAGGAACGGTTGAACCTCTCGAAGGCGGAGAAGTGAGCGAAGGAGAGGATTCCTGCGATTATTCCAGCAAAACACGACATGGCTGACAGGATCATGAAGGCCCGTGTTGCATTCCAGTACGCTGTGAGGATCACAAACATAACATCAGACAGAGACATTAGCCATTGCTAATAATGACTTTTATAATAAACTTCTCAAAGATTTGATGGTTGGAAAATGGAAGAATGTTATCTAACATTCTTAATTCCTTTAACTTAATTTTTCAGAAAATTATATTTGTAAAATATTTATTTGTTCTCTAATTTTTTAGGAATAAATTAAAGGTGAATACACACACAAACACACACACACAGACACAAATATATACATATATATTGTGTCGAAAAAAGGTTTTGTTTTGACAATTGATGTGAGGGGCTGCACGGTGGCGCAGTGGGTGGCACAATCCCCTCATAGCAAAAAGGTCGCTGGTTTGAGCCCTGGCTGGGTCAGTGGGCATTTCTGTGTGGAGTTTGTATGTTCTCCCTGTGTTGGCGTGGGTTTCCTCCAGGTGCTCCCGTTTCCCAACAAGTCCAAACACATGCGCTATTGATGAATTAGGTGAGCTAAATTGTCCGTAGTGTATGTGTGTGAACCGCTGCGTAAAACATATGCTGGATAAGTTGGCGGTTCATTCCGCTGTGGCGACGCCAGATTAATAAAGGGACTAAGCCGGAAAGAAAATGAATACATGATCCATAGATTTTAGAATTGTAACAACTTAATTCTGCTTAGTTTAGGATGGATGGATGAAAAATACAAATAAATTAAAAATATTAAATAAAAATACAACAGCAGAGCACAAACGACCGGGTTCTGAAAGTAAAACACTGTTCATTTTTTTTCCACAGGGAAATAGATTTTTTGAAAACAACTGATAAGGCAGACCTCTGATGCCTTTAATCAATCGCCTCTGTTGATCCCATCTGTTCAAAGTAAATAAACTTATAATAGCTGTTTTTAAAAGACATGTGAGTGTGAAATTCATGCACAAAACAATACATTTCATACGAAGCTACACAAAAACAAGAGTTTGTTGATTGGTGTTGTTCAAGACTTATTACCAAGTAAAACTCTGCTGTTATTTTGGGATTTCCGCATTTATTTTGCCTAACCAAATTTAAAAGCTTCCCAAATCCACATGGAGAGGTGTACATGCAAACATTTGGTATCGTTTTAAAGAAAACCCTTTGAATTTTCATAAAACACTATTGAAAGTGTTTAAAATAGCTGTATATGTTGTCTGTGTTATAATAAACATCAAAAAGAGGCGCTTTTTGTATTTTTTTTTTTATAAACTCAGATTTGAAAGTGTACCTTCACTTTCAAATCTGAGTCTATAAAAAAGAAATAAAAATATAGACAACATATACAGCTATTTTAAACACTTTCAACAGTGTTTTATGAAAATTCAATGGGTTTTCTTTAAAATGATACCAAATTTTTGCATTTACACCCCTGCATGTGGATTTGGGAAGCTTTAAATTTAGGTTAAATTTAGGCTTTAAAATAGGTTCTGTGTGGTCTAGGGTGCTGTAATTAATTTTGGTGGTTCCTGCACATGTCTAATCATAGGAAAAAAGAAAAATGTCTCCACCATAATCTATGCAAAAGTTATTGTATTCCAACTGATGAGAGGTGCTGTTCAAGCCACAGGGAGCGATCATTGTTTTCATATTTCACAATTTTTTTGTTTGATCAAACATAATTCACTGTGTTTGGACCACATCAGACATATAAAAGGATTACTTATGCACATCACCTTAAAAACAGAGGAGAAATGGCCCTGAAGCGCACAGCATAAGGTAAGAGATGACAGCTGTCTGAGCTATCTGGGGCTGCTAATTGATCATGAATGTATTGTTTACATTCCTGCGCCATGGAAACACCACAATTCATTCGACAACTGTTTGATATGTGAATATAATTCAATAAAAAGAATTATAGAACTGTATGAGTGTCAAGTTCCGGTAAAGGGAAAAAAGGAGCGAGGACCCAAGCGCAGAGTGAAGTAGGATTTAATATTAATAAAATAAAATAAAATGCAAAAATAAACAACCCCGAGGGGAAAAACACTACTACAACAAACAATAAATCAAACAAACAAACTTGACTGGGCAGGCAGGACAAGGCAGGACTGGACACAGCAGGACATGTAAACATCGACAACATATGATGACGAACTCGCACAGGACAGCAGACATAAGGGGTTTATAAACTGTAGGAAATTAACAAAAAACAGATGAACATAATTAACTAATAATGGGTTAACAAGAAGGGTGGGACTAGACAATAGACGGGAGAGCGCATGACACAGAAAGACAACACAAGCCATGCGCTCACATGACACAGGACAAGAACATGCTGCCAATGAGAGAACTCATCAACCGCATGTTCATGTAAAGAGGAGCACAACACTGAAGCACACGACAAAAGCACGTGACCACAATGTAAACATCGAGCCACGTGCTTTGACAAAAGACGCAAGACACGAGCACACGATAGATAAACACCTTACCGTGCGCTCACACATAAGCAACGCGCATGCTTCATCTCAGCGCCAACCAAAACTGAAACCAACTAGACGGAGGCGCCGAGAATAAAGCAGCGCGATGCTGACAGAACAAACACAAACACTAGTACAAGAGTGCGCGCGTCTGAGGGACGCAGAGCGTGCGCGGCCACATCAAGCGGCAGCGCGCACACTCTGCGTACACCCACGACGGCGCGCGCGCGCACACAGAGACAGAAACAGGACCAGACATGAGTAGTGTCAAAGCTCTGCCACCAAAACAAGAATTTACGAGACCAAAGTGGCAGAACCCTGACAATGAGCACCGGCAAGAGCTTTCATTTGAGCTATAACTTGTACATGTGTCATATGAAAAATATGAAAATGAACCAATGAAAATCCCTAGCTCTGGTCTCCAAAATACTGTGTTTTTAAGTGTAAATAAATTTTGTACAGTGGAATAAATACCAAAGTGATGCATATGTACATAAAATATAGATTCTACACTTTCAAACGAAACGACTTACGGGGGTCTGGTGCAATGCTAGCCCTTTAAATCTTAAAGCGAAAGTCAATGACGTCATGGACCCGTTACCGGGTCCGCGGAGTTTAACTGGAGGCCTATTGTGCCCCTTTTTACAAGATGTAAAATAAGTCTCTGATGTCCTTAGAGTGTGTGTGTGTGTGTGTGTGTGTGTGTGTGTGTGTGTGTGTGTGTGTGCGTGTGTGTGTGTGACGTTTCAGCCCCAAATACCACACAAAAAAGATTTTATAACTGTTTAAAACTGACCCTTTAAGGCCTTGATCCTAATTGTGCTGTTTTGCTGACTGTCGCTTTAAATTCAAATGAGATTCTGCTCTTTTCGAATAAGGGCGGGGCTACAAATGCCTGTGTGTCAGCATGATGGGAGATTCAAAAACAAGACTATTGTCCTATGCTAATGAGGGAGAGATGGTCACTAATGGGCGGGGCTTTCCCCCTCTGATGGCACGTACAAAGGGAGAATGTCAATCGAAGTGTTTCAGCAGATTACAAACAAAATTAATACATTTGTACTATTAAAAGTTGATTATATTCACACACTGTAACCACACACACTGTTTAAAGCCCTTATAATTCCTTACCCTATGGTAAAAAGGAATAGGGAACATACTTAAAGCAGAGCAATCAGTAGTATCTCAGTTATAGTGAACGGTGTGTGTTATATGAACAGTGTCTCACACTCACCGATGCTGTCAGTCTGTGTGTAGCATTTGCCAGACATGCAATATCTCCACAGGCCCTGGTGAGCGAAGCTGCCTGACAGTCTGTACTGCATCCAGTAGTCGGTAGCAGTGGAAACAACCAGCAGGATGTTGCCCACGATGGCACAAAACAAACCCCCTCCCATGAAGCTGTACATCCTGAGAGAAACACATTACAGTCAATAACACACACAATATACAGCTAAAACTGTCACAAAACACACATTACAGTCAATAACACACACAATATACAGCTAAAACTGCCACAAACACACACATTACAGTCAATAACACAAACAATACACAGCTAAACATGTCACAAAACAAACATTACAGTCAATAACACACACAATACACAGCTAAACATGTCACAAAACAAACATTACAGTCAATAACACACACAATAAACAGCTAAACATGTCACAAAACAAACATTACAGTCAATAACACACACAATACACAGCTAAAACTGCCACAAACACACACATTACAGTCAATAACACACACAAAATACAGCTAAAACTGACACAACACACACATTACAGTCAATAACACACACAATACACAGCTAAAACTGTCACAAAACACACATTACAGTCAATAATACACACAATATACAGCAAAAACTGTCACAAAACACACATTACAGTCAATAATACACACAATGTACAGCTAAAACTGACAACACACACATTACGGTCAATAACACACACAAAATACAGCTAAAACTAGCACAACACACACATTACAGTCAATAACACACAAAATACACAGCTAAAACTGTCACAAAACACACATTACAGTCAATAACACACACAATATACAGCTAAAACTAGCACAACACACACATTACAGTCAATAACACACACAATATACAGCTAAAACTGCCACAAACACACACATTACAGTCAATAACACACAAAATACAGCTAAAACTAGCACAAACACACATTACAGTCAATACACACAATATACAGCTAAAACTGTCACAAACACACATTAGTCGATAACACACACAATATACTGCTAAAACTGCCACAAACACACATTACAGTCAATAACACACACAATACACAGCTAAAACTGCCACAAACACACATTAGTCAATAACACACACAATTCACAGCTAAAACTGCCACAAACACACATTACAGTCAATAACACACACAATATACTGTATACAGGTATTTTTAAGGTTTGAAACCACTTGAGGATGAATAAATAATGAGTATGTTTAAATTATAGGGTGAACTGTCTCTTTAAATGCCATGACAAGTTCATCTACACAGATCCTAAGCGTGCTTTCATTTAACCATCTATTTCCAACACACTTTTTCCCCTCTCACTTTAATTCCTCATACAGTATGTACACTACCTGTTGTACATGCGCTTGTGTGTGTTTTCCCAGTCCACATCACAGTTTACACAAGCAAAACAGCTTCATTCATTCACATACCCACACACACATCTGAGTGACATCATTCACTTCTCATGTTCTGAGAATGTAATGACTGTTCTGTCATTACACATTGCCAAAACAATACACATAATTCAATAGCAGTACACACAAACAGCAAAACAGACAACACACTGGCCACGCATAATCTACAGATTCAAAAGTCACAGCTGCAAAAAAAATTAGGAGTGCTGATCGCCACAATAACTTTACATGTGCGTACAGAACAGGACTCGCTCCTGAAAATGTACTGATTGATAAGTTTTACAATCCCACCATAACTTAGAAGAGTTGTCATGTTATATGTAATGTTATATTGCAGTTTTTTTTACAATGGCTATGACAGTTTTTTCAATACATTTAACAAGTTTGCTAAACTCTTAACGCAGCAACACACCTAAAACACACAATTGGCAAAACAGTTAATTTCATGCTCAAAATCACACATTATAAACTAAACCTCTCAACTTCTTTTCAAAATACAATAATAAACGAACACACTACACCATGTCTAACATATTTAGAGTTCTGTATTTTGTATTTTGTTGTAAAGTGTGTAATGATTAATTGAAAGAGCTCATATACTTGTTTGCAAGTTGTGTTGTTTAAAGGTAAAACTAGCTTTTGCTGCATATTTTACAGTTTTTTACAATGGCTATGACAGTTTTTTCAATACATTTAACAAGTTTGCTAAACTCTTAACGCAGCAACACACCTAAAACACACAATTGGCAAAACAGTTAATTTCATGCTCAAAATCACACATTGTAAACTAAACCTCTAAACTACTTTTCAAAATACAATAATAAACTAACACAATACACCATGTTTAACAAAACACTGCAAACATGTTCCAAAATGACTTACAGTTTTTAACAATGGCTATGACACTTTTTTCAATACATTTAACAAGTTTCCTAAACTCTTAACACGGTTAGCACAACATCCGTCTTCGTGGGCTATACAAGTAACACATTTCTTGTTGTGAAAAAAGGTGCTCTAGCGACATACGCTAGAGGCGATGGTCTTTAGCCTCCTTGGTAGAGCACCTGACTCCCATGCGGAAGGTCGACGGTTCGAAACCAGCTTGGAGCGGGTTGGGTGGTGTAGAGCCGGCGGGGTTACATATGCAATATAGGCTCATTCTAAAAATGTAGCGCTATTGACCTTATTCTAAAAAGCAGAAGTGCGCCTGTTTTCGAGGTTGTTTTAGAACTTCCGATTCAGTCGCCTATGGGAGAAATGACTAGGAATAATAAACGGCAGAAAACTTGCAAACAATCTATACATGACTACATGACCAATAGAATACAGTTTTTCTTGTTTGCTTTGACCAGGTTAAAAAAACTAGGTTCCACTTCATTTTTATTATCACTATCCCAGCAGAGCAGAAGACAGGTCCTGCAAATGTGTGAACCCTTTCTCATTGGGGTAACACATTTTCCCCACCATTTTCAAAAGAGTCCAAACTCCATTGTTTTAGCTATGGTAACCAAACAGAAACCATCTATTCATTACTATTAGAAACTACCAAGATCAGTATGACTTCACTGAAGCACCGGTTTGACACTACTTCACACAAATCTTCAATTAGCAATCAGTCTGCAAACCTTATAAAAACGGTGGAAGGTTTGTGTTGTTCTGTGCCAGCATGGATGGAGGTCAATAGTGGCTATGTCCTATACTCCCAATAGATCTGACTGTATATTTGGTTTACATGTGTTTTCTCTAATATTTACAGTATTTCATCACTTTTGTCAATTTTTATTTTCATTTTTTTAACATTATTTCAGTTTTTAATGTCTAAAAATGAATGGAAGTGAATGGACCGGAAGTCAAGTCAAAAAGATTCAAATGGCTGCGCCCGCTCGTCAGCGAAGAATAAGGTGAATATACGTATCTGGAGATCGCAAATTAAGTAGCCAGAGCTACGTATGGCTGCATTTCGTCTTTAAAACTAACGCTTTAGGGTGGTATGACGCTGTTCCTTGTCACGCTTAGCAGCTGCCCGCTCACCTCCGTATGGACGGCTTTACCGCTGCAACCAGTTAGTCCCGTTAGCTCGCTATGTACATCGGCGGACTTGAGACGCAACAAGGAGTTGACCACTATGACAGGGTTCGAGAACGGTGAAGAACAGTTCCAGAAAGCAGGTAAAGCAAAAACAAAAGATAAAACAAAAAAGTTAATAACAGGGTGAGAATGTGGTAAAATCTGAAAACGTGGTAAAAATCAGACGAGAGCTTTTCTTTTTCTGGATTGCATTTGAAAAATGTTGGTTGGGTTTAGGGAAGTGGGTGGGCGGGTCAATCAATACAATTGGTTAGGTTTAGGGAGGGAGGTGGGTGGGTCAGCTGATCGATCAGTCAGTCAGTCAACATCGGCCTCCGGTGGATTTATGTGAGAACAGGCGGCGCGAATGGCACTAGCGAGAGATCTGAAAAAGCGTATACTGTGGCCTCTTGTGGATTCATAAAAAGAAAAACTCCAGAAATGTATATAGAGGTACGTTTTCAGAAAGAGCCTGCGTTGGTTATTTGTTATGCTATATGTTATGCTGTATGTTAAGTTGTTAAAGGTTATGCTATACATGTTATATGTGGTGCTATATTTTATGTTATATGCAGGGCCTGACAGAATCTGTGGACATTTTTCTCTATTTCTGCTCAGAATTTTGTAAAAAAAAAAGAAAAGAAAAAAAATTATCTGGGAATTAATGTGAAATGATTTTGTGAATACTGTATATTTAAAAAAAAAATCTTAAAACGGGAAATAATAGAATAAATACTTTTATTGAAGGTTTACATTGCAAATCCAAGATACACTTGTTTGGTAAACAAGACCAGCCACTAATGTAAGATATCTAGTAAAAAAAAATACTTTACAAAATGTTTTGTAAATAAATCATATAAACATTTGAATATTAGTCTATAATATTACTGGAATTTAAAATATAAAACACATAAAAAAAATAAAATATAATAATTTGGCGCATTTGAACAAAGACAGTTTTATTAAACTACACTATATTCATTAAAAAAAGATTTTGCTTATTGAATGTCTTTAGGAATAGAAAGATAAAACATATAGAAATGCAAATTAAATCGCAAACTTCAACATTTCAACTAATTTTGTTTTATGTTTCTCTTGCTTTTTCTGTTAATTAAAATTATATTTCATGTTTTTTCCCAAGATAATAATTTGGGTGTTCTAATGTTTAGATTATCAGATCTGTTGGATTATTTACAGTTTTGACTTTTCGTACTGACTAATGTATATGCACAAATATATCATTGTAAATCATCCTATGGAAAATATGAATTTAAAAGAGAGATCTGTGAGTGGCGTACTCATTTATGCGGAGCACTGTACTGTTTATGTATAAGATATATTTGATTTTATCTCTGGATGAATTAAATCCCACATTACTGATGCACATCGCTGTGAGACTCACTTGTTAAATGCAAAAACAACGCTTTTCGTTTCACCTTAAGCGATAAGTTTTGCACGTATCGCACGCACTATAACACCACTAATGGTTATGATTATAAACTTCCTGCAGATTAAATCTGTGCAAACACTCTACTTTTGCAGAACTTGTGTGATGTGCAAAACATTAATCATACAAAAGTGTACGGTTGCACAACATTGCAATTTATATCTTTTATTTATATTGGGATTCGGTAACCAAGCATGACTAATTTACTTCAGAAAAATATCTGATTCAGTATCTGCAGTCATTCACATGTTTTAGGATTGTAATGAAACATTTTTCAAAATTTGTAGTACAATTTAACGCTCTACTGCACAGGTGTCAAACAAGTTCCAAAAGGGCCGCAGCTCTGCACAGTTTAGTTCAAACCCTAATTAAACACACCTGATCAAACTAATTGAGTCCTTCAGGCTTGTTTGAAACCTACAGGTAAGTGTGTTGGAGCAGGGTTGGAACTAAACTGTGCAGGGCTTCGGCCCTCCAGGAATTAAGTTTGACAAACCGCTCTACTGCACGGCATAACCATATGGCAACATGATACTTATGTTAATTTCCCTGCCGGATAAGTTGGCGGTTCATTCCACTGTGGCAACCCCAGATTAATAAAGGGACTAAGCCGAAAAGAAAAAGAATGAATAAATGAATATATTATGCTAATTATAATAAATCTATAATATATTATACTCCGTATAATAAACCTATAATACATTATACTACTCAAATAAAGCTATAATAATGGGTATAATGCATAATAAAAACATTTGCATTGCAAACAAAGTGAATTTTTACAAAAGCTTTAATAAATCTTTGATTGCATCCTTTTACATGTAAAATTTCAAGAGTTTACATATAATTTGTTGAGGTTTTCTCTCTAAAAAATCCAACAGACTCTTGACATTTATTCAGAAAAAGGTCACTAAGGTGAAGCGGTCAGTCTGAGGTGTGGTGTTTTTTCTTACCTGAAGTCTTCAGGATAAATGAAGCTGCTCAAGTATTGACCTTCCCAGAGGAAAAGAGAGAGAAAGTGTATCCCGCAGTGAGCCGAACGTCAAAAAGGATCCGCCAGGCCCACTTCCAAAAAGTTATGCCCTCTGCTTTTTCTGTCGATGGTGGCAAAATCCTTTAGAGCGAGCCACACAGAACAAATGCACTTCAGCTTGATGGTGTCGGAGGCACGCGGGGACGCTCGTCCTGACGCTCTCTTTGTTGTTGCATTGGCCGTTCTGGAACTGTGATGTGCAGAGGCTTGCAGTACTGCGCCGGTCAATGCAACATGCTGAAGCGCACACTTTCATTCAGGCCTGCTCTCCGGATCCAGCGTGACACTCCGGCGAACGCAACCATGATGATGATGATGATGAAGTTTGTGCACTTTTTCACTCACATCACATCACATGTCCGTGACTCTATGTCTGACAATGCAATGACACTGATGGGATGAACAGCTTGGAAAAAAGACAACAGTGCATAAGTTAAAGAGCCCCTATTATATATTAAAAAGGATCATATTTTGGTTTTTAAAGTTTCCAACAACAGGCTGATCTGCATGCAAGGTCAAAAAACACTTTCATTGTCTTATAAAATGCATTTATTTTTACCTAACTATCCCAGCGACTCCCATATGAATCGTTCAGTGATTCAATTGTTCCCAAATCCCTCCTTAGCGCGAAGCTAATCTGCGCTGATGGACCGATGACAGTCTGTTGCAAATGGTCGACAGTGTTCAGCACGAGACAGAGCGAAATGCCTGCTACGGCTTATCAACAGTATTGAAGTAGTCAGAGTGTATAGTGTATGTGTGAGCATACCTGCCGACACTCCTGTTTTTCCTGGGAGTCTCCCGTATTTCCGACTTGTCTCCACCCATTTTGTTATTTATTCCTCCCGTAAACTCCTGTAATCCCAACCACCTCCACCCGCCAGCATTTTGGTACAGTCTGTGAAACCCCCGGGTCGCCAACATTGGTATGGGATCCGATCGCAGAGGCCGCCCGAAACATGCTTCATAGTAGTTACTAACACCACAGTAAACAGTACCCGGTTCTCAACAGTGTTATTCAGACATCTCACCCCTGAACCTAAGCACCCCCAAGTCGTAGCTCTCTCTCTCAATACGTAGCTCTGGCGACATAGATCACAATTTCCAGAAATATATACAACGCAGGCTCATTCTGAACACGTTGGCCCCGTGGACATTTCTGGAGACCGCGAAATACGTCCTGGGAGGTACATATTATTGCAGTTTTTGCGAATCCGCAAGAGGCCGATGTGTGCGCTTTTTCGCATCTCAAATGTCCCTCGTCGAGTGCTGTATGCACTCGCGCTGTTCTCGCATAAACCCACCGAAGGCCGCTGTCGAGTGACCGTCTGTCTGACTGGCTGAATGATTGACTGGCAACCAGCCAATCGGCTAACCCACTCTCCTCCTTCCCTAAACCCAACCAGTTTTACCGATTGACCTGCCCGCCGGCTAGCTTCCCCAAACCCAACCGGTGATTTATAAAAGCCGTCCAGAAAAAGAAAAAGCCCTCGTCTGATTTTTTTACCACGTTTTTGGATTTTACCACATCCTCCCCCTGTTATAAACTTGTTGATTTTATTTTTGGACCTGATTTCTGGAACCACTTTTCCCTGGACTCAAACCCGGTCGTTATCGTCGTGGTCAGCTCCTTCTCTGCGTCTTAAGTCCGCCGATGTGCACGACGAGCTAACCGGACAAACTGGTTGGGGCGGGAAAGCCCTCCACACGGAGGGTCAAGGGGTCAGCCAATAAGCGCGAAAAAGGAGTTTCATCACACGTAGCGTTCGCTTAAAAAATTAAATGCAGCCATACGTACCTCCGGCTACATAATTCGCGGCCTCCAGAAATTACTGCGGGACTACGTTTTCAGAATGAGCCTGGGTTGAATATATACGGGCGGTAAGGGTTTTCACAATGACATGAGGAAGTCAGTGGTTACACGTTTCCAACTTTCCTCAAATTATCTTCTTTTGTGTTCAACAGAAGAAAGAAACTCATATAGGTTTAAAACAAGAGTGAATAAATGACAGAATTGACATTTTTGGGTGAACTGTCTCTTTAATGTCACGTTAAAATATAAAGCATATCATTATTTTCATGACAGATAAAAATACAGCCTTATGCCTTTCACTACATCCGTGGTTAATATGTAGCACAGCTTTATTATCTAAAATATTTGTTTGTTTCTTTTGAGTGGAAGTTCCCCAAACAGAACGTGCAACACATAATTTGTCAAAACCAAAAATTGAAATAAACGCATTGGATGATTATAGGATACATGCTTGTGGTGTACCAGTCCATCAGATTCAGACAGCGGTGGTCATTCGCACAGACGAGTCCACTGAAGACACAGGATCGGCTCGTTCAGGCTGAAAAATGTGACAAAACGCAGTAAAAAATTACAGTTTAAACCATTTATGCTTTATCAACTAATAGTTTTGGTCTTATTCTGAAATGCAGAAGTGATTGTTTTAGAGAGAAAGAGAGATATCACTTTTCGACAGTCGTCAACATTTCAAATAGATCATCACCTTTCAGCAAAGTTGCCCAAAAACTATTGAACAAAACCCATTGTGGTCTTAGGACAACTTTTTTGATCCACTTCAATTGTTGACTAATGTATAATATATAATAACTGTATAATATATATTAATGTTGTGCGGTTTATTTATAAACTAATTTCGAGAGGATCACATGCTTATGATCAACACGGCTGGTACCACATTAGCTGCATAATCTGCCCTATTTGATTACGGACGCATTATAAATAACCAGAGCTTTTCACTCCAGAAGTTACCCCGCCCCCCTCCACCCCTACTTGCCACCCTTTTTTCAGATAGGGCGGCACGGCGGCCCAGTGGTTAGCACTGTTGCCTCACAGTAAGAACACCGCTACTCCAACCTCCTATCGGGCCGGTTGGGATTTCTGTGCAAAGTTTTCATGTTCTTGTCGTTTTTGCTTGGGTTTCATCTGGGTTCCCTCGTATCCTCCCACTGTCCAAAAACATACACCATGCAAATTCGACTAATCCATCAACCTAAGATAACCTTAGTTTACACTTCACACAACGTCAAGCAGGGGAGTTCTCGAGACCTACCTGAGCTCGAACTACCCTCTCGCCCTTCTACCGGGAGGGAGCCCCGGGTTCGAGGATATTACGAGCTCAGGGCTCTCTCTCAGGACAGCATGCCAATTACGCTTTACTGATCATCAGCTAGGTGTGATCTCTTGAAAGAAAATATGTTACCCAAATTAATGTGTTTGTGCACAGTTGATGAATAAAGCTCATTCTGATGAACACAAAAGATCCATTATGACTCTGAGTCTGAATCTTTACCTGCTGGAGTCTGTCATCTGCTGGGGTTTTTAATCTTGCTCTCAGGAGATTATGAGGATTGAGAGCCGATTGAGAGACGACAACCTGAAGACAGGAGAAAAATACCTTAGCGTAGATGAAGAGCAGCCTTTAGTATCTGACAAAAGAGTCCACTTTTACCTTCTCCACGGCTCTGGAGACTGGATATCTTCGGTCTGATGGAGGAAAATTAAATGAATTTATTTGATTAGATTCATTCATTCATTCATTGTCCTTCGGTTAAGTCTCTTTATTATTCAGGGGCCGCCACAGCGGAATGAACCACCAACTTATCCAGCATATGTTTTACCTAGCTGATGCCCTTTCAGCTGCAACCCAGTACTGGAAAACATCCATACACACTCATTAACACACATACACTACGGACAGTTTAGTTTATTCAATTCACCTAAAGCGCATGTCTTTGGACCTGCGAAGCACCCAGAGGAAACCCATGCCAACACAGGGAGAACATGCAAACTCCACACAGAAATGCCAACTGGCCCAGTCGGAACTTGAACCAGTGATCTTCTTGCTGTGAGGCAACAGTGCTAACCACTGAACTGCTTTAATCATTTAATTTTTTAATTCATTAATTAATTTTAATTTATTAAAAATTAAATAATTATGAATAAATTCATTAAATGCAACGCATAGCTGTGATTAAAAGGGAGTACAAATTTCTAATTTTCTCAGTTTAAGGTGAACAATTAAAATAATTAAAAGGAGTAAGTAAATAAATAAATAAATTAATTAATTAATTAATTAATTAATTAATACTGAAGTTAAATCATTTGTTTTTTTCCAACCAACTCTCATATTCTGTAAAAATGCTCTAAATAGGAATATTTTCATTTGAACATATTTGAACAAAAACATGCCGTCAGTTTTTCTCAATCACATCCCTATTAAATCTAGTAAATCCACAGAAACTGAGACATTTCAAGCAGTCTCACCTTGAGTCGCACAGTAGATGAAGCCGATAAGGATGAAGAGCAGAAGCAGACCACAGGGGATTCCAGCAGATAAAGCAGCGACGGCAGCAACACTAAGTTCAGCAGCTGAAAATACACACACATACAAGCATCACAGGACTGCACGAAAGCTGATTTAATTAAGGGCTCACATTTTTGCCCTTTTTACAAGATGTAAATTAAGTCACCAGAATGTATCTGTAACGATTCAAGTCAAAATACCCATCAGATCATTTATTATACCCTGTTATGTCAATTTTTGCGTGAGAGGGAATTGTAGCTGCTTTGTGCCTGTGTCTTTAAATGCAAATGAGCTGGTTCTCCCGCTCACTCTCGGAACATTAACGTTCAGAGAAGGATAACCAGGGTCAGATGTATAAACACTGCAAATAACAACTTAGACACGCAAGCGAGTTTAACACATTGTGATCACTTTATTCATCCCCTTGTGGCAAATATGACAGGATGCCCACAAAACGGGTAATTACAGCTGTATAGTTGTGTAGATCCATTATAGCATTATATCCATTAAGTTACTGTACAAAATAAACCCGATTTAACGTCCACAAACTGCGACTCTGTTTTGTGATTAAAGCATCCTCAGTCATAGTTGTGTACACTATGCAGCTGTGCTGATTCAAGAGTTTATGAATTACATAGCTCAAAAATTGACATATAAAAATAGTCCCACTGCTAAGGATCTGATAGCTCCACCCTAAAAGACTTACAACCCCACCCTAAAGCACTGATAGCTCAGCCCTAAAGAACTCGTAGCCCCGCCATAAATTACTGATAGCTCCACTTTAAAAGACTGATAGTCCCTCCCTAAATAACTGATAGCTCTGCCATTAATGACTGACTGACATATAAAAGTAGTCCCTCCATAAAGGACTGATACCTGTGCCCTAAAAGACTTATAGCTCCTTCTTAAATTAATTATAACCCCACCCTAAAGGACTGATAGTTCCACCCTTAATGATTTCTAGTCCTGTCCTAATAAAGTAATAGCCCCGCCCTAAAAAATTCCAGCCCCTCCCTAAATGACTGATAGCTCTGCCTTAAATGAGTTCTAGTCCCGGCCCAAAGGAGTGATAGCCCCGCCCTAAAGAAATTCCAGCCCCTCTCTAAAGCAGTGGTTCTCAAAGTGGGGGTGGGGACCCCCTGGGGGGTCGCGGGACAATGACAAGGGGTCGCTTGGTGATTTCCAAAATTTAAATAAATTTTATTCAACTATTTGAATTGTCATATTTTATTCATAACCCACAGAAGATTAATAGTTGTGTCAAAGAAACAACAACATACAAACAAAAATCAGCCATCAGATTTAAATTTTTATATTAAAATGTAAATAAATTAATAAATGATTAAAAAAAAACATTATATGTTGCATTTATGTGTTGTCATTATGCTCATGTTTATATGGGCCTATAGTTGTGTCTGCAACGTTTATATATATATTTACATTATAACCACTTTGAAAAATGGGGGTCGCGAGTTACTGACATTGTTATTTTGGGGGTCGCGGGCTAAAAAGTTTGGGAAACCCCTGCTCTAAAGGACTGATAGCTCTTCCCTAAATGACTTCTAGTCCTGGCCCAAAGGAGTGATAGCCCCACCCTTAGGATTTTCAACCCCTCCTAAAAGGACTGATAGCTTCGACATAAAGGACTTCCAGCTCCTCCCTGAAGGACTGATAGCTCCGCCCTAAATGACTTCTAGCCCCGCCAAAAAGGACTTCCAGCCTCCCCCTAAAGGACTGAAAGCAACGTCCCAAAGAACTGATGGCTCTGCCCTAAAGAACTTCTAACCCCTCCCTAAAGGACTTCTAGCTTATCCCTAAAGGACTTCTAGCTCCTCCTTAAAGGACTAATAGTTCCACCCTAAAAACTGATAGCTCCGCCCTTAAAAAAAACTGATAGCCATTGCCTAAATGACTCATAAATAAGTCATTCAATCTATTAAAATCTGTCTGAAATGCTTTTCTTAAGATTCATGTCTAGTTTCAAAGTATTTTCAAAGTACATCCAGCACTTTTATCTCAGACCATTTTCCCTTCCATAATATGAGCCTGTTTTAGCTTGTTAAGATTTTTGATTGACGTCACCTGGCCCGATGCGATGGTTCTCCGACTGTTCTCCTGCAGTTCTGCCGGCTTTAGGGATGATTCTGAAATAGTATGTGGATTTAGGGTCGAGTGCAGAGATGCCTGCGCTTCTGCTGAACGCCGGCATTATCTGTATAGTGTGGAAATCTGCTGTGTTCACATCGGGCTGAGAAAACTCTGGACCTTTCATCTGGATGTCAAAGCCTTTCAATGTAAAATGCACATCTTTAATACACAGCTTAATATTGATACAGTTTCTATTTACATTATATTTTTGTAGTCAAATGTTTTTATTGGTTTTAACCTCATTTCATTTAAAATGTTTCATTAGTTAATGTATTTATTGTTAATAACAGTATTTTCATTAACTAAGGTTAGGAATAAATATTGTAATAAATTAATTGTTCATTGTTTGCTGATGTTAGTAAATGCATTAACTAACATTAATTATTACAACCTTATTGTAAAGGTTTTTATGTTTATTTGCTTGGTTTTAATAATAACATTTTTACAAAATGTATTTATTATAATACATTTTTTATCTTCTACCGTCACAGCGGAATGAACCACCAACATATCCAGCATGCTTTACTCAGAGGATGCCCTTCCAGCTGCAACCCATCACTGGGAAACATCCATGCACAGTCATTCACACACATACTCTACCGCCAATTTAGCTTACCCAATTCATCTATACCGCATGTGTTTGGACTGTGGGGGAAACCGGAGCACCCGGAGGAAACCCATGCCAACACGGGGAGAACATGCAAACTCCATACAGGAATACCAACTTAACCAGCGGGGGCTCGAACCAGAAACCTTTTTGCTGTGAGGCAATTGTGCTACCCACTGCACAGCTGGAAGGGCATCTGCTGCATAAAACATATGCTGAATAAGTTGGCGGTTCATTCCACTGTGGAGACCCCAGATTAATAAAGGGACTAAGCCGTAAAGAAAACGAATGAATGAATGAATAATATTAAAAATAATTCCAGAAGTAGCAAACAATACAAATAAATTCAGTTTCAGCTTAGTTCAGGTTCAGATGGACTGGATCTTTCATTTGTATATCAAAGCCTTTCAAAGTGAAATGAGCATTTTAAATCCCCACTGAATATGACAAACGTTTAATTTTTGATTCATAAGTAAAGCTTGAATGGTATCACTTACTGTATGCTCATTGTCCTGTACCTGTAATAACAGAGGTGAGAGGAACATCCCATGTAAGAGTAACTTCTGTACCATCCTCATTTGACAAAACACTTGAGTTGGAGATTTGAGGACCTTAAAAAAAAAAAAAAAAAAAAAAAAAAAAGAGATATTCAGAGAAGAATTGCAGTTTTTTTTTTCCTGTTATTTGAAGCTGCATTTTCATCATCATTTCTCCAGTCTTTAGTGTAACATGATACTACAGGAATCATTTTAATATGCAGAATTTTTGCTCCAATTCAATTTATTTTATCTTTATTTTTATAGCACTTTTACACTGTAAAATGTGTCAAAGCAGCTTCACATAGAAGTTCTAGTAAATTGAAACTGTGTAAGTCTAGTTTACAGAGTTGAAGTTCAGTTTAGCTCAGTTTAGTGTGGTTTAATTTTCACTTCTGAAAGTCCAAACATTGAAGAGTTTAATCTTCTTTTTTACTATTATCAGTGTTTAAAATGGCTTCATATTTTTGGACCAATTTTTTTATCCTTTTTTCAGTAATGTTAATAAATAAATGTAAATAACCACATAATTAATTGAAATAAATAAATAAATAAATAAATAAAAATAAAATATTAGTGCTGGCAAAAGATTTGTCATGATTAATCACATCTAAAATAGAAGATTATATATACATTTATTATGAATATGTAATGCACACACATACATAAAAACAAAACTAAAACTTTTTTTGAAAAAAATTATAAGTGTAAATATAAAACAAATCAATTAATATAATCAAAATTCTACACACAATACCCCATAATGACAATGTGAATTCAGATTTTATGAAATTGTTGCAAATTTATTAAAAATAAAAAACCTGGACAATCACATGTGCATCAGTATTCACAGCCTTTGCCCTGAAGCTGTAAATTGAGCTCAGGTACATTCTTTTTTCACTGATCATTATTGAGATAATTCAGCAGCTTCATTGGAGTTCACCTGTGGTCAATTCAGTTGATTGGACATGTTTGAAAAGGTATACATCTGTCTATATAAGCTCCCAGGGTTGACAGTGCATGTCAAATCATAAACCAAGCATGAAGACAAAGGAATTGTGTGTAGTTACAGAAAAACTGCTGCTCTGAAAGTTCCAATGAGCACAGCGGCCTCCATCATCCTTAAGCAGAAGATGTTCTGAACCACCAGGACTCTTCCTAGAGCTGGCCGGCCATCTAAGTGATCGGGGGAGAAGGGCCTTAGTCAGGGAGGTGATCAATAACCCGATGGTCACTCTGTCTAAGCTCCAGCATTCTTCTGTGGAGAGAGGAGAACCTTACAGAAGAACAACCATCTGTGCAACAATCCACCAATCAGGCCTGTATGGTAGAGTGGCCAGAAGGAAACCACTCCCCGCCTGGAATTTGCCAAAAGGCATCTGAAGGACTCTCAGACTATAAGAAACTAAATTCTTTGGTCTGATGAGACTCAAATTGAACTCTTTAGAGTGAATGCCAGGCGTTACGTTTGGAGAATAGCAGGCAGCGCTCATCGCCAGGCTAATACCATCCCTACAGTAAAGCATGGTGGTGAGGAACTGCAGGAACTGGAAGACTAGTCAGGATAGAGGGAAATATGAATGCAGCAATGCACAGAGACATCCTGAATGAAGACCTGCTTCAGAGTGCTCTTGACCTCAGACTGGGGCGATGGTTCATCTTCCAGCAGCACAATGACTCAAGCACACCGCCAAAATATCAATGGAGTGGCTTCACAACAGCCCCGAGAATGTCCTTGAGTGGCCCAGCCAGAGCCCAGACCTAAATCCTATTGAACATCTCTGGAGAGATCTGAAAATAGCTGTACACTGTCGCTTTACATCCAACCTGATAGAGCTTGAGAGGTACTGCAAAGAGGAATGGGCAAAAATTGGGCAAAGACAGGTGTGCCAAGCTTGTGGCATCATACTCAAAAACACTTGATGCGTGAAGGTGCATCAACAAAGTATTACGCAAAGGCTGTGAATACTGATGTACATGTGATTTTTCAGGTTTTTTATTTTTTATAAATTTGCAACAATTTCAAAAACTATTTTCTTTTTTTACATTGTCATTATGGAGGATTGTGTGAAGAATTTGAGGAAATAAATAAATTTAATACATTTTGGAATAAGGCTGTAACATAACAAATGTGGAAAAAGTGAAGCGCCATGAATACTTTCCGAATGCACTGAATAATATAAACAGTACACACGCATATATTACGTGAAAACAAACTTTTACTTTAAATTATATTTTGATTTGATTTTATATTTTGCTCAGCACTAATATTTTTATATCTAACATCCGGAAGTCTAAAACAACTAATTATACCTCATAAGACTAAAACAGACCCATACCAGTCAGTGTGGTGTGCAGAGTTTTGTTTCCAAGAGGGTTGACAGCAGAGCAGGTGTAGGTGTCCAGGTCTGCAGAAGAGGCATTAAAATCCCGAATCCTGAGCTGAGTTGTGTTTGTGCTGATCTGGTATTTGTGGTCATTCTGCAGGCGCTCTCCGCTCTTCATCCAGAACACAAGAGCTTCAGGTGTGGCTTCAGGAGAGCAGACCATCAGAACCATCATCTGATCATCTGCACTCACACTGGTGGAAACTACCGCCAGAAAATCCACAGGAGCAGCTGCAACATAACCAGATCACATTCATTTGTAACACTTAATGTAATATACAAAAGCATTTTCAGTATTGTGGATGTGACATTTGCAGTAAAAACTCAAAATATAAATACACAGGTTAAATGTATGTTAATATTATACTGAAACATGATTCTATATTGTCCAAAATATCTGTTCTGGGATCAGAAAATTATCAATCTGCAAACATTTTTGTATATTTTATATGAGAAAAAATACATGCACTTTGGATGTGACCGAAAAGCTTTACAGTATACAACATACTTTGTAGAAATTCTGTGAATTAAACTGCACGACCCAAAAGATACAACACTAATCAAAAGGATAAGAGTTGTTTTACTATAGGACAAACGTGATTGATTTTATTTTATTGCACATTTTTGCATTTATGAGGAAAAAGCTTGGTTATGGGTGTGACGGATGTGAAATTTCCACTTGAGTAAATCAAATATAATTGTTTGAAAACACTGACAGAGACATTTTTGAGAATGTTTAAAGTACTGTAAATGCTTGTGTTACGCCCCGTGTGGCTCGGAGGATGAAAAAGGGCTTAACATAATTATGACAACCCAATATTTAAGGAATTCCTCTGAGATAGCTGCTTTGAATCAACACAGACAACGACGTGGCAAAAAAAACTGGTTCGCTTTATTACAATAAAGATAAAGAAGTGAATATTTAAATCACCCAAAGTATATTTACAAATATGTACAATAAAACAAAATACAAATGCAAAAAGTAAACAAAAATACCTGATGGAGGGAAGGAGAATAAGCGGTGCCAAATCAAAGAAAATAACAAATTAAACACCCGCTAACTAATCCCTCCCCCACCTCTAAATAACTAAAGAGAAATATGTAAATAAGAAAAAAAAACATTTTCAGGGTCACACGCCCCTTACTCAACTGCACTGACTGGAACAAACATACATATATGGTAGCACCCGCCTCTAACCTAGTGGAATAACAAAAAAAATCTACTACGTGTGTGTAAAATTTAAGTCACGTGACATACTTCCCTTCACTTCCCTCTAGGTATTTTTAAATCACAAAAACTTTCTTTAAAGCGAACCCGAGCACAAGATAGGCACCAAAAGTTACAAAACCACAGCAGCAACAAACAATATGGATCCCCCTCTCATCAGGGCTGAGTCATCACTGGAGCGTTTAAATAACACCCATCCTCTTCTGATTGGTCCACTCGGGAGAACTCTGCCAACCAATCGGAACACCTAGATTTTAGAGGTATAGGAGACAGCAAATAGAAACAGAGAGGGGAGGAGGGAACAACAGAGCAACACCCCCAGGCATGTAACAGCTTGCTTAACCAAAAAAATGTGCAAAGGGTTTCTTAATTTTGCTGAATTTTTTTTTTTTTTATGGCAAGGTAGACATTTGCACGGAATTGCTCATAAATGCACTTCACTGCACATTGATTTGCGTATTTCCAGATTTTTATCATACTTTGGTAAAAAAAAAAATTAAGCATTTAGAACAGGGGTTCACCAATCTCGGTCCTAGAGGGCCGGTGTCTTGCAGATTTTAGCTCCAACCTTAATCAAACACACCTGAACAAGCTAATCAAGGTCTTACCAGGTATACTTGAAACATCCAGGCAGGTGTGTTGAGGCAAGTTGAAGCTAAACCTTGCAAGGACACCGGCCCTCCAGGACCAGGATTGGTGACCCCTGATTTAGAATGTCCATTTTTTACCTCAACGCACTATTGACCTTATTCTAATATGCAGAAGTGCACTTGTTTTCTCGATTGTTTAGAACTTCCGATTCAGTCGCCTATGGGAGAAATGACTAGGAATAATAAACGGCAGAAAACGGCCAAACTACTTGCTCTACAAACAAATTTTTGCATGACTATACAGACCAAGTAATAATATAATATAATAAGGAAATATCTGTTTGCAACATCAAACAGCGAAACGAGCAGTTTTTAATGTCTAAAAATGAATGGAAGTGAATGAGACCGGAAGTCTTGACCCAAAAAGATTCAAATGGCAGCTCCCGCTCGTCAGCGAACAATAAGGTGAATACTGGCTAAAAAAGGTAATAAGTGTATTTGCTTAATATTTGTAGCCTACAGGCAATGCTTCTCGCCTTATATTGTGTCTTTTCTAAAACATTCATTTATTAATTTTGCTTTGGCTTAGGGTCTTATTTATTAGGGGTTGCCACAGTGGAATGAATTGCAACTATTCCAGCATGTGTTTATGCAGCGGATGCCCTTCCAGACGCAACCCAGTACTGGGAAACACCTATACACTCCAAACTTTCATTTACACACACGCACAGCCAACTTTGTTTTCCCCAATTCACCTATGACGCATGTGTTTGGACTGTGGGGGAAACCGAAGCACGCAGAGGAAACCCACGCCAACACGGGAAGAACATGGAAATTCCACACAGAAATGCCAACTGACCCAGCCGGGTCTCGAACCAGTAACCTTCTTGCTGTAAGACAACTGTGCTCACCACTGAGCTACCATGCTGCCCCTTTCTAAAACTTACAGTGGAAAAAGCATGGTAAACACAAGAAACAACCAAACAAATGTATAACTTAATTTAGCACAAGGCATTACATGCAGTAACTGTGGTGACTAGATATTTTTCAAGACATTTCTATAGAGCTTAAAGTGACATTTAAAGGTTTAACTAGGTTAATTAGGTTAACTAGGCAGGTTAGGGTAATTAAAGCTAAAAGGGGCTAATAACTTTGACCTTAAAATGGTGTTTAAAAGGCAACGCAGTGGCGCAGTAGGTAGTGCTCTCGCCTCACAAAAAGAAGGTTACTGGGTTGCTGGTTCGAGCTTCGGCTGGGTCAGTTCAGTTGGCATTTCTGTGTGGAGTTTACATGTTCTCCCTGCATTTGCATGGGTTTCTTCCGGCTGCATCGGTTTCCCCCACAGTCCAAAGACATGCGGTACAGGTGAATTGGGTATGCTAAATTGTCCATGTGTGTGTGAATGAGTGTGTGTATGGATGTTTCCCAGTGATGGGTTGCAGCTGGAAGGGCATCTGCTGCGTAAAGTCTATGATTAAAGCGCCACCCAGGGGTCAAAAGCTGCAGGCGCACTTTGCAAATGTTACCACTGCATAACCAACTGTCTCATACACTATTAATGAATTCAGAATAAAATAATGAAAGTATTTAACTGTAATATGAACTTTATTTCACTGTACAGTTGTGCAATATGTTACTGCATTTTAAAGATGCATTGTGTGCATTGTTGTATCTTGTATGGTAAAGATTTGTATGTTCTAAACACACATACAGCAAAATAAACGGTGATGTAAACGAAAATACAGTACTTTTGCTGTAATTGATTTACAGTAAGTTACTGGTAACGTGTAGGACTTTCCGCGCATTTTGTGACAGGATAGTCTATACCACAGGTGTCAAACTCAGTTCCAAAACGGCCGCAGCTCTGCACAGTTTAGTTCCAACCCTAATTAAACACACCTGATCAAACTAATTGAGTCCTTCAGGCTTGTTTGAAACCTACAGGTAAGTGTGTTGGAGCAGGGTTGGAACTAAACTGTGCAGGGCTTCTGCCCTCCAGGAATTGAGTTTGACACCCCTGGTCTATACACACATGGCTTTCTGATACTATTGATACACCTAATAAGTGCATCTAAGCTACCAAGAAATGCAGAGGAATTTTTTCTTCTCCAATACGTCATGCGGTATCAAACATTCCATTAAAACTAAACTCTTCCAGCAGTTCCTCGCATCCAGTATCTCATTTGTCATGGGGGGCATGCATGAAATGTTCCAGAATGAAAGTGAAAGTGCCAAATTGCAGTTAAAGTCCACAAATTATTAATTAGGCAAATAATTAGATTACTAATGTTCATGTAAACATAGGCACTGTCTGTCTCCCATGCCTCCGTGTGTTATTTTGGGGGTTCATGGCCCTTTAATAAACTGCCAGTGTATTGTGTGGTATTTTACAGACCTATTATTGTTATACAGTAGGGGAACATCAGCAACAATCAAGAATACATGATTACTGAATATGCTGTCATGGCTTTCCCATCAAAAATGTCATTATAATGGGAGTTAAAGGGGGGGAAAACAGTCACAAACATAACAACAGGGTAGTAAATGTGCCCAGAGTGTATTGTTGATATATTTTTTCAAAGCATTTTCCCTAAATATGTGTCAAAATAAGATTTGTCACCAAAATTACAAATAAAGTAATGGTCAAATTAAGACTCAAAATCCCCTCAGAGTGGATAAAAGCATCCTAGACAGCACATAAAGATTATTAAAAAAGGTTTCTGATTGGAAAATGTTTTTAAAGTGCCAGCAGAAGAACAGAGCATGACTTACAGGGAAAGACACTGCAGTGTGTGCTTCTGAGCGGATGTTCAGCTGTGCAGATGATTTCTTGTCTGTTTAATTTGTGGATGTCCTGCACAGTGATGCTGTAATCTCCCTCTCCACCTGCATCGCTCAGGCTGGGGAAAGACACTCGCGCTGCCGGAGCGCCCCCTGGCCAAACACAGAGGAACTGCAGTGCTGCTCCTCCAGGCACCGTCTGAACCGAACACTGCGGGGCGCCGCTGGGAGACTCTGACAGGGGAAAACACTTTATTAAAGCGCGACTTATCTTTATTATTCCAGGTAAAGTCCTTCTTATCAATATTCCTATGTGTCCATTCATCTCGACAGTTTAATTGGTCACACAAATACATAAATATATCAGTGAATGAGCTGTGAACAAACCTAATTTTACTCACTTTAAAATAGAAATAAGTCATTACCTATGCACGATAAAAGAAACAAAAAATACCAAAGCAAAATGAACTGTTAATTATTTTAAAGCCATATTTTTTTTTCTCTCTTCTTACATTGTACTTGATTGGATGTTAATATAATGTTGTTATTGCCCTTGTATGTTCTTTGTTCTAAAATTGCAATAAAAAAAGAAAAAAAGTGCGACTACTGGCATTTTATGAAATAAAAGATTGTTTTGACATAAGATATGTGTGTATTACCGTACATGTAACGAAACTATAAAAACGTTTTTAGCATATATATTTAAAATCATTTATAATTTACATATACAGTGCTTAGCATAATTGAGTACACCCCATTTTGATAATTAATATTTTTATCCATTTCTCAGTGAATATACCTCATATGTTTTAGTGCATTTGAACAAAACAGATTGATAGATTGACAGAAAGAACCTTTAAATTCATGCAAAATATACAAACTACATATATTCAACAAAACTGTATACATTTTTTTGTTTCTTTTAAATTTTGCTCTATTTACATTTTTTATTTAATATGTTTCTCTATCATATAAATTTGGGCGTACTAATTAGGGACAGTTATTTTGTTAGATTATCTCCAGATTTGGCTTCAGTACAGACTAATCTACTGTATGCACAAATATAATTTTATAAAGCTGCCTATAGAAAATATTCATTAAAATAAGAGATTTGTGAGGGGTGTACTTATATATTTGACCATTGTATATGCAATAATATATATATATATATATATATATATATATATATATATATATATATATATATATAATGTGGCATGGTTGTTGGTGCCAGATGGGCTGGTCTGAGTATTTCAGAAACTGCTGATCTACTGGGATTTTCACGCACAACCATCTCTAGGGTTTACAGAGAATAATCCAAAAAAGAGAAAATATCCAGTAAGCAGCAGTTCTGTCGGAGCAAATGCCTTGTTGATGCCAGAGGAGAATGGCCAGACTGATTACAGCTGATAGAAAGGCAACAGTAACTCAAATAAGCACTCGTTACAACCAAGGTCTGCAGAAGAGCATCTCTGAACACACAACAGGTAGAACCTTGAGGCGGATGGGCTACAGCAGCAGAAGACCACACCTGGTCACTCCTGTCAGCTAAGAACAGGAAACTGAGGCTACAATTCACACAGGCTCACCAAAATTGGACAATAGAAGATTGGAGAAACGTTGCCTGCTCTGATGAGTCTCGATTTCTGCTGCGACATTGGTCGGGTCAGAATTTGGCGTCAACAACATGAAAGCATGGATCCATACTGCCTTGAATAAACGGTTCAGACTGGTAGTGTAATGGTGTGGGGGATATTTTCTTGGCACACTTTGGGCCCATCACTATCAATTGAGCATCATGTCAACGCCACAGCCAACCTGAGTATTGTCTCTTTATGACCACAGTGTCTTTGAGATTTGAGTTCACTGTATTCAAATGGCCTCCATAGCCACCAGGACTCAATCCAATAGAGCACCTTTGGGATGTGGTGGAACTGAAGATTTGCATCAAGGATGTGCAGTCGACTAATTTGCAGCATCTGTGTGATGCTATCATGTCAATATGGAGCAAAATCTCTGAGGAATATTTCCAGTACCTTGTTAAATCTATGCCACGAAGATTTAAAGCAGTTCTGAAGGCAAAAGTGGGTACAACCCGATACCAGTAAGATATACCTAATAAAGTGGCCAGTGAGTGTATATTTAATGACATGAACTAACAATAAAAAATACTTTAACATTAAAGTCATTAGCTAAACATTAATCAATACAACCAAATTGTAAAGTGTTACCAAATATTTTATGCACAACATCCTAACATGCTGTATATGTATATTTTACCCATATTAAATCACCATAGCAAACTCGTACCATAGACGATCACAGTGATGTTTCTCTGGAGTGCTGCATTAGTTCTGCTGTTGATCATCAGGCAGGTGTAAACGCCGCTTTGATTGGTCTTTACATCAGTGAGACTGACTGTTCCTGGTGAAAACGCAGGAATGGATTCACCATTGAAAGTCCATGTGTTTGAAGGAGCTGGCTCGCCGTCGGCCTGACAGGAGAGGAACAGAGACTCTCCCGAAACAAAGACAGCTTTTGTAGGACTGACCTTGAGAAGTGGCATATCAGGTCCATCTAAGAGCAGAGAGGGAAAATAAGCTGTAGGAAATTAAATGGGCTACTGGAGGGAAAGGAAAAGCTTTTTGAAGGCATTCTGTCTGAGCTATTGAAACACATGGGGGATTTCAAATATTAGTTCAGCAAAAAATTATACAAATTAGCTAAAAATGTAATGACCGTTATGACCCCCAAAAAATTAGATGTTTTTGTTTTTATCAGAACAGCTGTGGAAACATTTAGAATTTAAAAAAAAATTATTTACACCTTGCAATTCTGGTTTTATACCCTGTAATTCTGAATTTACATGTTGCCGTTTTTATTTCTTCTTATTTGTATTTTTAAATTCTAATTCTAAATCTTTCAATAGAGTTTACATCTCCCCATTTTACATCTCTCAATTCCCGAATTTACATCACAAAATTCTTGAATTAATATACAATTTTTTTTTTTATATAAATCTCGCAATTTGGAATTTACATTTCACAGATCTTGAGTTTAAGTTAAGTAATATTAAACTGTAGAATTAAAAATTTACATCTGGCAATTTTGACTTTACATGTCAAAATTCTTTAAATGACATATTACATCATACATATTCATTTCACAATTACAAATTAATTTACATCTCTTTAAATTAACATCTTGAAATTATGAATATTAATGTCAAAATTCTGTAAATTACATCTCGCAATTCTGAATATTCATCTCACAATTCTTGAATTCAGATCTCGCAATAATAAATTCACATCTCGCATTTCTTGAATTAACATCTTAAAATTATGAATTTACATTTCGCAAATCTTGAGTTAAAATTAAGTAATATTACATCCCAGAATTCAAAATTTACTTTACATTAATGAACTTTACATGTCAAAATTCTTAAAATTACATCTCGCAATTCTGAATATTCATCTCACAATTATAAATTCGCATCTCGCATTTCTTGAATTAAAATCTTAAAATTATGTATTTACATTTCGCAAATCTTGAGTTAATGTTAAGTCATATTACATCCCAGAATTCAAAATTTACATTTTGCAATTTTGACTTTACATGTCAAAATTCTTTAATTTACATCTCGCAATTCTAAATATTTAATTTACAATTACCAATTAATTTACATCTCTTCAAATTATAATTCCTCCTGGATTGGTTGAACCTAGGAACCAGGAGGAACAATGTGTTTTTTTGTTCAGGCCGTTCTACACTGGATCAGCTCTATACCCTCACCAGGGTGCTCGAGGGTTCATAGTGGTCTGCCCAACCAGTCCACATGTGTATTGTGGACTTGGAGAAGGCATTCAACCGTGTCCCTCATGGCATTCTGTGGAGGGTGCTGTGGGAGTATGGGGTCAGCGGCGCTCTGTTAAGGGCTGTCACTGTATGAACAGAGTAGGAGTCTGGTTCGCATTGCCGACAATAAGTCAGACTTGTTTCCAGTGCATGTTGGACTCCAGCAGGGCTGCCCTTTATCACCAATTCTGTTCATAATTTTTATGGACAAAATTTCAAAGTGCAGCCTTTGGCTGGAGGGGGACGATAGGATTTCATCTCTGTTATTCGCAGACGATGTTGTTCTGTTGGCTTCATCGAACATGGACCTTCAGAGTGCACTGGGGTGGTTTGCTGCCGAGTGTGACGCAGCTGGGATGAGAATCAGCACCTACAAGTCTGAGGCAATGGTGCTCCACCGGAAAAAGGTGGTTTCCCATCTCCAGGTTGGAGCTGAGCTGAAAGGCAAAGCTCTCGATTTAACGGTCAATCTAAGTTCCTACTCTCACCTATGGACATGAGCTTTGGGTCATGCTCGACAGGACAAGATCTCGGATATAAGCAGCCGAAATAAGTTTCCTTCACAGGTTGGCAGGGCACACCCTTATAGATAGAGTGAGGAGCTCTGACACCCGGGAGGAGCTCGGAGTAGATCCGCTGCTCCTCCACATCAAGAGAAGTCAGCTGAGGTGGCTTCCTGGATGCCTACCTAGGGGGGTGTTTCAGGCATGTCCCACTGGGAGGCCTCGGGGAAGACCCAGGGCACCAACACGGGAAGAACATACAAACTTCACACAGAAATGCCAACTGAACCAGCCGAGGCTCGAACAAGAGACCTTCTTGCTGTGAGGCAACAGTGACACCCACTGCGCCACTCCTCTGCTGATAATCATTTTAAATAATCATGATAACAAGGATCTGTTCCTTTAAATAAACACAGTGGTCATAAACACTGACATAAATACTCACACAGAACGGTGATGTTTCTGTGATGATCCTCAGAGCTGAACGGGTTGGTTAATAATACAGTGTATCGGCCCGTATCGTTCCTGCTGGGCTGCTTTATCGTCAGTCTCTTCCCGCTGATGGAATAATGAGATCCATCTTTTATCTGGAGCCCATTAAAAAGCCACTGGACTTCTTTGGCCTCTCCTTGAATTGTGCTGTAATATAAACTGAACTTCACTTCACCCTCAATGGCGTCGTCTGAGTCAGTGTGAAGGGAGACATTCATGATGAGATCTATTGAGAAAGAGAAGTAAAAGATATGAGATTCATAACAGTGCATGGTCAATCACATTTTACTATTACTGAAGTCAAATACAGTCAATAAATGCTCATAAGCATGTCACAAAATAATTAGTAAACAGCTAAATTAGTGCCTAATGACTGTAAAGTGATAGCTCTGTAAACAATCACTTCACAATTAGCTTAATTTTCCAATGGATGTATGATTTTAACTAATATTTATTTATTTATTTTTTTAAATACATCAATAAACAATTAGACACATAATTGCACACAAAATAACTATTTTAGCTACATATATCACACATAGTGGAACATAATAATTTAATTTTTTATATAAAAAATGAGAATTAAATTGTTTTAATTAAACACTTTTTTGTTAAATATTTACCCAATAAATACATTTAAATGAAATAAATCCTATAAAAATAAAATATTACGTTATATTAAAAATTTAATTAAGAAATTTGAATTAACACTTTTTTGCAGAATATTTACCCACTAAATAAATGTAAATAAAATAATTTCTTATAAAAAAAGTGTAGTCATATTAAAATAAAGTAAAAATAATTTAATAAAGTTTTATTTAAAAAAAACTTATTGGTTGAAAAATTAAATAGTTTTAAATTAATATTTACCCCATAAATAAATAAAAATCATAATAAAATAAAATGTTTTTATACAAAAATATTAATTGTTTTTTTTTATTGATTTAAGCTATTTTTTTTTCAGAACATTTACCCAATAAATAAATGAAAAAAAATAAATCATATTAATATAAAATAAAATGTTATTATATATATAAAATAATTCATTATAAAATTACAAATATTAAATTACATTGTAAATATACAAAAATTCATTATTTTGCAGAATATTTACTCAATAAATAAATAATAAAATAGAACTTATTAAAATAAAATGAAATAACATTAAATGTAATTATTTTTTAAAATGTTTTAAATTAAGTTTTTAATTATTGAGATTTTTGTTTTTAATTAAATGGTTTAAGAATATTTAAACAACAAATAAATTCAAATAAAATAAATCCTATTAAAATAAAATGTTATTTTATATAAAAAAATCATTCCTTGTTTTAAAACTTAATTAATACATTTTATAAACACTTTTTTGCAGAATACTTACCCACTATATAAATAAAAATGAAATAAAGCTAAAATTAAATTAAATTAAATAACATCAAATGTAATAATTTACTGGTTGAAAATTAAATTGACACTTTTTTTTGCAAAATATTTACCAATAAATACACGAAAATCAAAAATATCTAAGTAAAAATCAAATAAATATAATTAAAATATATAAAAATGTGTTAACTGTTATTAACTGTATATATATATATATATATATATATATATATATATATATATATATATATATATATATATATATATATATATATAGACTGTATATTGAAAACTGTACTAGAAAACTAAACTATATTTTCAAACCAGTACAATACAATGCAATACTAGGTTTTGTTAATTGCTCAAATTGGAGGATAATATTTAATTTAATTTAATTATAGCACATACAGTAAAATAAAAAAGTTGGTTTGAAAGTATTTTTTAAATTTAGCACAATATTTACTCAATTCACAAAAAAATACATTAAAATAAAATCAATCCAGCTAAAATAAAACAAATCTACTGAAAGTACAGCCATAAATTGAAAACCAATTCAGTACTGGGTTTAATATTTGGCTAAGTAAAATATTTACAATTATTCATTTATTTTCCTTCGGCTTAGTCCCTTTATTAATCAGGAGTCACCACAGCGGAATGAACCGCCAACTAATCCAGCCAATCGGCCAATTTAGTTTATTCAATCCACCTAGTGCATGTCTTTGGACTGTGGGGGAAACCGAAGCACCCGGAGTAAACCCACGCCAACACAAGGAGAACATGCAAACTCCACACAGAAATGCCAACTGACCCAGCCGAGACTTGAACCAACCATCTTGATGTTAAGCGACAGTGCTAACAACTGAGGCACCATGTCGCCCCATATTTACTATCAAAAAAGTTAAATATCATCATTAATTAACCAAAATTGTTGTCTATTGCTAATTACAACCATCAATATTCCCCATACTCACCATAAATAAAGAGGTCAAATGTAGCGCTGACCTTTGCCTCCCCGATTTTATTCATTTCAACAGTATATGTGCCGTTATAAATCATCGACACATTTCTGAAGGTGAGAGATCCATCCTGTTCTGCTTTTAAAACACCTGAAGCAGCATCTGGAAGTGAACTTTCACCAACGGTCCATTTAGCAACCAGAAGTTTTCCCAAAAACCACATCACCTCCGGCTGAGACGCACCAGCGTGGGACACAGCAAGAGTCACATTTGTGCCCACAAGTGCTTGAATTGATACTCGACCCATAGGTGAAAGGGTCAGAAAACACAGATGACCTGTAAACATGGGGGAAATAACTTCCATATTTATTTTAACTATTAATATTTTACAGTATTTCTCTATATATTTCATTCATTCATTTTCTTTCGGTTTAGTTCCTGTCAGGATCCAGCCCTTATAGCCCTGTCACTCCTGTCTGTGTTTAATGTCTCTTTGTTTGTTTTGTTTATAAGCACATGGTTGTCTCTTTTGTTGTGTTGGCCATGTGCTCCCCTTGTCCTGCCTCCTTGTTTTCCTATGCCTCGCGCCCTTGTTTAGTCCTTGTTTGTCTAATTATGTTCACCTGTTCCTCGAGCTCTCTACTCCCTTTATATTGAGTTCATTTTCTACTTGTCCTTGCTGGTTCGTCATACTATCTAGAGGTTGATAGAGGTTTTTTCATATAGTCTAGTTTTGTTTCTTTTTTCTAGTCCTAGTCTAGTATAAGTCTTTTTGATCTTTATCTTGAAATAATTAGTGATGGTGAAATAAAGCTTTTTGAACCAGTGAAGCGCTCGACCCAATTGTATCGGAAAAAATTTCGTTACTCGAAGCTTTCTAAATCAGAGCTCGATGAGGACCTCTTCTGGTTAAAGTGTGGGAAAGCATTGTGTTGCCATAATGTCAAATGTTCACAACTGACCAACTCATTCATGTAGTAATACAACAACAGCAATATAAACAAATTACTCAATTACTGTAGTTTTTACACATAAGCAGGGCCAGACGGATTCTGCGGACGTTTTTTGCTATTTCTGTGGAGAATTTTGGTAAAAATCTGTGGATTTCTGCGGAATTATTTTGGGAGTATCCAGCGGTGTATCATAACTAAAACCTTAATATATTAAATAAAAAGAAATAAATTACTGAATAAAAACTGAATAAATTCATATTTACACATTTACTCAAGTAAATAAATAGAATTAATAATGGGCTAAAAATCTCCAGAAATCTGCGGAATTCTGCGGAAAATCTGCGGAATTCTGCGTCCGCAGATTCCGTGTGGGCCTACACACATGATATATTACATTACACCACCGATGACTGTCGTAACATCCAAGGTATTCAAAAGTTTATCATATTACAACTAGTCCTGTTCCAAGCGGGGATCGAACCAGCAATTCCTGCATGGGAGGTGAATGCTCTAGGACAGTGATTCTCAACTGGTGGGTCGCGGGAACGTTTTCAGTGGGACGCGGAGTGTGTTTAAAAACAACAACAACAAAAGTTACATTTTTTACTTATTTTGCTTATACCGGACTTTTATTTTGAAATGCGTGCGAAACAACCCTACCGTTTGACATGTGAAATATCATTTAATTATTGCAACAAATATGTCAAGCGCAAGTAGGACCCCAAATATATAAAGTATGGATATATATATTGACGACAAAAAAGACTTAAAGCCTCAGTGTCATATGTAGTGAGGTGCTCTCATAAGAGAGCATGAAACCTTTATTAAATTAAGCTAATTTACCTAAATTAAAACAACATTTAGAAACCAGAAAACGTGTATTTTTAACAGTTTAAACTTAACAGTATTTGTTGTTTTTACTTTGTAATATTTCTATAATTTGATCCATTTTGTTAAATGACAGCAATAAAATATTGTTTATTTATAAGTCTTGGTGAATTTCTTATGATTTATCTGTCACTACTTGTTTATGTCAACAAATAAATACAAATTAAGTATAATTCCTAAAATTGTATTATAGTTCCAAAAAATTCTCGCGGCTTGATGACCATGTAAAAATGTGGGTCCCATGGCCAAACCAGTTGAGAACCCCTGCTCTAGGAGGAGGCTATGTGAGTGATGTGTTTAGGCGGTACTCGCCAGCTGGTCTCTGTTAAACACTATACTACGATATGCAGTGGTTTTCTTTAAAGATAGTTGTAAAAAAATACGCTAATACACTTAAGTATGGTTCAAAACCTTTTTACTATAAATTAGTATTGTATTTTAGTTAAATAATGGTGTGTGAGACAGGTGCAGTGCTTTGAAACAGTAGAAATGTATGTAATCGACGCCTAATCTCTCGCTATACACTTTACTAACCCATGAGGGTGTTTAAACCTTTGAATCAAAATTTGAAGCAGTCACATAGGTATAGGCGAAAACGAAGCTTCGGACGTCACTGATCACGTGATGATGGCAAAACGAATCAAGCTCCTATACACTGCTTCACTGCGAGATGTATCGTTTTTTTGATACATGCTTCGAAGCCTCTGCGCACAACGTCACATCACAAAAATTAACTTATCCTTTGATTTGGTTTATTTTTTTTTCTTCTTTCAGCAAGGTTGCTGTCAATTTCTATTTTATTTCTGTTTGCACCTCAAGACTAATTTCAAGTTTTCATTTTGCCATTTTTGTGATCCATATGCCGAGTTCAGACTGCATGATTTTCAAAGTAATCATGTCACAGATGTTTTCACATTGCTATCTGGGCTAGAGTTTTGTCGCTGCTTCACTGTAAAAACGCCAACTTTCAAAAAGTCCTCTGAACAAAGATTAATAAGTTAACTGAATTTAAATATTTTCATTTGAAATGCTGACATATAATAGTTAGTTTGTTCAACAAATATGGTGCTTCAATGTGAAAAACTTAAAATATTTCGTTGAACTAATACAAAATTCTTAGTTTTGCGTTGATGCGTGCCCTTCTTGTTGGCGCATGCGCCTTATAAGCTTCTGGCGCATGCGCAATTTACTTCCATAGCTCACTGCAGGGGGTACCTGTCACGTGCGCGCGACAAAACGAACCATCTTTCTTTCTGCGGAGCTACGTGTCAATCGTTTTCATAATCGATTGTATATAATTGTATACATGTTTTTGTGCGATGTGCTACCCATCTGACTGCCCGATCTATTTTACCAGTGTATTAATGATGTGAGAGACCGTGATAGAGCGGTTAAGAGTAGTGGTGGGCAAAGCGAGGCTTCGTGAAACACTAAAACAGTCGAAGCAAATGTGTCGAAGCTTCGAAACGTTTCGAAACCTCACTCTACAGTGACATTTAGTGGTCATTTTTTATATATATTGCACTGAAACAGCTTCAGCAAAGAACGATTGAACAAATTGAGGGATTAAACCCCACTTTGTGAAAGTGGAATCCTTCAAGTAACATAGTACAGTGGTTAAGGTGTCAGACATCCATACAGGAGTAGTAGGTTTCGAAGCCAGTCAGTAGCAGTTGTTTTAAAATGCTTTAATACCAGTTGGTAATGCTTTGCTCTTGTATCGTTTTGTTTCAACATTGGTCTGATATCCGAATAAACAATTTGTGAATAAATATGTCTTGTTTTTGTCTTAAAACAGGGTTGTTGCTAGATCAAAAACGGTGGCCTGAAGTTATCAAGAATTATTTATATTATTCATTAAATTTCCCATTTATTGTATTTTATTAATATCTACCCAAACCCTAAACCCAACCATACTGTAAAAATATTTATTATTGTTTTACAGTGTTACAAAAATGATGCTAAATTGATGGCGTAACTGTAGCTGTATCCTATTTAGGCTACACAAAACAGAAACATGATTAAAATACATAAAACCATGATTTCGAAGTCGGGATTCGAACCCAAAACATCATGCTAAGCATAGAATTAATAAGTAAACCCACAGTGCTCTAAGCCATTTGAGACAGAGATAATTTGGAGACCTTGGCAGTCAAATTAGGATTCACCAGGTCTCGAAACGTTTCTAAGCTGATCGATGCTTTGAATCGCTTTAGTCACGTGACTAGGTGTTTCGAAACACTTTAGTCACGTGACTTGGGAGCTTCGGATCATGCTTCGGTGCAGTGATTCGAAACACTTGCGCTTCGGGATCTCGACACTGTGTCAAAACATCAGTTTCACGTCAGCCATCCCTAGTTAAGAGCAGGCCAACGACGTTTCTGCTAAATCATAGGTATGTATGTCTTTTTTTGTTGTCATCTAACGTTATATTATTTGATATGTTGGCTTTGATGTGCGCGTGTATCCTAATACGGAACTATTTGTTATAATTTAGCCGTGAGTTACTTGTTTCGTGCACTTGGTTTTGGCTATTTACATCAATAAAAGTTTAGAGTGAATGTATTTGAAACAAATAGCGATTTCAATCGAGTCATTTGCTTTAATAACTCACGATTAATACAATGAGTATCATATAACATACCAGATCAGGTATCCAAGTCAAATATAACATTATGTCCTGTTTATCTAGATTGCTGTCAGCATTGCGCACATCATAACCTTTTTTCCCTTCGAACCAGAGCCAGTGGAACAAACGGTGACGTGTTTAACTGTGTAATTTGTGTGAAAATCGTGTGATTTTCATGTAATTAATTGCTTGATTTGTTAGCTCGACTAAATGTCTATCATATTCAGACCAACTTGCTTTAACAGTCAGCTAGCTTTTATTTACATAAAAAATATAAAGGGCTAAATATATATTTTTCTTTCTTTTTGCTCAAAAGGACTGAAATATTGACAATGACATAATTCAATGCAAGATTTCCTTGAGGAGGTGAGACTTGTTATCATCAGTGAAATTTGACGGTCATTCACCAGCAGATGCAAGAAACCTTTTCTCTTTGCCCAAAAGAAGTTGTTGAGATTTAGCCAGGAAGAAATTAGAGAGAGATAACCTGGACTTTAAGGAAGAGGTAAGTCACTATATTGCAATTGCTTTGGTTTCATTCAAGGTAGTAATGATAATGCTAAAAATAACAAACAACATTATTATTATAGGTAATTCAAAATACATCTGTATTCAGCATTTGAACATTTAAATATTTACATTTACATATATATATATATATTATGTGTAAAAATTAATATGTATGTTTTTTTTGTATATTGTAGATCTGCACAGAGTTTTCTCAGATCTGTAATGTAGATCTCCTGAGACAGTTAATCGAGTGACTTGATAAATATACAGCACCTCTCCTGAAACTCTACAGAAAAGAAGGGATTCAATGGGTCCAGAGATGGATACAACTTTAAACAAGATGGATGAGCAGGTACTCATTAAGATTTTTTTTTTTCTTATACACCCGTCTGATGTTTTTAACATGTGCAACATATTTTGTCCTGTCAAGAATTTCATGCTCAGGTAATACAGTCTAATAAAACGTAATTGCAACAATTTAATTGTCCAGCCCTTTTGCATTAATTTTAATTGTGTCAAGTTGTGTTTTGATTGTGAGATGGAAGTAAGATAAATAACAGATGTTTCACTTGTTTTGAGTGACCATTTCAAATGAATACATTCAAAGAGGAAAATAGAAAATAATAGCTGTAGTTTTTAACTCAAAGTAATTGTCACATGAAACTAAACATTTTTCTAAATTTGCCAACACAACCATTATCAAATTCCATTGTATGGAAACCACAAAATTCTTTTTTAAAAATAAAGCCATGTGTTTTTTCAACAGCATGAATAAAATACTATGCTCATTTAAATGTACTAAGTACATTTTTACTTACAAAACAATAAGATTGTAAAACACCCTTTGTAAATGACTTTCCTTTAGGTCACTGATAT